GTATGAGTAAATTAAATGACATACTCAATACTCATATATCATATAAATGTAAAAACTTGGTCGTGTTTAACAATTTTAATAAGTAAGTATAAGTTTACTTATAACATTGATAAACAAGTTATAGAGTACCTATACATATTTTATTTGTATAAATGGTCTTGGGAAATAATCTGATACTTACAATTTGTTAATGAGAAGAAATACAACATTTATAAAAAATAAATATGAAGGTTAGATTTAGGTGGTTAATGGTTATCTAGAATATTATAATCTATGACTATATTACATAGTTATACGTTTTGAATGACAGCTGTAATAGTTAAAGGTTTTTTAAATGAATATTAAAATTTTAAAATCACGTCATATTTCAGTAAACAGTCTTTAGATATTTTATTTGTATTTAGTTTTTTCCTAATTTTACCATAGTATTATACAGACCCGTTGAAACAAACTTCATATTTGAGCCTTAAATAAATTTTGACTTAAGTTATCATATACTATAGGTACGTAGTTCCGGTGGTATCGCTACTATACATAAGAGTACCTATATATCTATAGGATAAATCACAGATAAAATATTTTGCAATGACATCAAGGCAATTATGAGTATACTGTTTGGGTCTGCGTTATTTTATTTTGAAGCCTATTCGCTTCGTCAAAGAGCATAGCATAATTTTACTACGTGTGTACATCGAGATATGATCATTTTGTACAAACATTTGTCTTCAAAAGATGAAACTAAATCGCACTTGTTTCGTCGATGCATAAGAACGAAAATATAATATAGAGCGAGTTATAAAGACTGCTCAGTGATCTGCCGAGACACGCTTATTATTAATCACTCCGTGAAACATTGTCACGCTGACCATTGAATACGAGAGAAGTGAAAGGCATTCTGTGCGAACCGCTGGCAAACTGGTGTCGAAAAAGGATCGAAACTTGATAACAGTTTTGTACCGAATACGTTCTATGAAAGCGGTCAATCCACGATCACAGTTCGAAACGTACAAATCGATGTACAAAACGGTGAAACCGACATTTGGAAAAATCATTCGAGAATTTCGCAAAACTATTCTAGTTGGACAAAAAATGTATAGTATTTGACAATGGTCAATAGGTATTATACGCGTGTTGTACTGTATGTATGAAGAATTTTTTCTCGTTCCAAAAATTAGTACAAATGAATAATGATAAGTACATATACGTCTTATGTACGACAAATATATTATTAGGTTCTTATTATTTATTATAATTTTGTTTTATTTTTATGTTATTCAATATTTGGTTTATCCTGTACTGATGTTATACCATAATAAAATAATATATATTTATTTTTTAAAACTTATTTACATTTATGCGTATTATGTAGTGTTAAGTGGAAACTTGTAAGCACATCATTATATAACTTTATTAGAGGGGCTTATGTACCCATTAATTTATATATAACAAAAAATTAACATTCAAGTACCTAATCAAAATGTTGTCAAATAATATGTAAGATATTATTTCCAATCCGAACTGTTAATGTTATAGAACTGTAGCTTTGTACCTATATACCTGTGGCTATATTTTCTACACTTTCTCATAAAATTATGCAAACTTATAATTGTCTCCAGTTGTGCATGTACATTACTCAATCAATTCAATCCCTAATTAGACATTAGTTCCATATTAGGATTAAAATAATAGGTACACACGCGATGATATCATAAACAGAGTTGTTCTGTATAATTTTCTGAATTAAATTGACTAATTATTATAATATTCTTTAATACTTAAAAACTGTCAATTTTCTTTTAACAATAAAGTCGTCATCACCAGAAAAATATATTTGTAAATTGCAAGTATAATAGTAACTATAAAATATACATAAATAAGTTTAAAAAAAACTCTATCTGCAGCTGTAAATAAAAACCTAACCTAACCTAACCTATGAACCTATGAATATGGTGTACTACGCTTCATTGAGTATAGGCAACTGCAATGAACATATTCAATTTGAATTCAATAATTAATCATTGCATGCGATGAAAAACGATTCTAAGCTAAGATTGTCTGTTGGCTTATATTTGTAAGGATATTTATAAAAATTAAATTTTAAAAGTGTTTTTTATTTAAAATGTGCTCATGCATTTTAGATTTTTTTTTTTATCTAAAAGAAATTTATGAGAAATCGTCTATTCATTTTAAAAGCCTTAGCTATTAAAATTTAAAATTTAATCAATTAACTATACAAAGTAATTTGCACGTTTTCGTTATTTTTACGAATTTTATCAAAATTTGAAATTTAAACTCTCATAAAAAGAATCTATACATAATATATGTATTACATATGTATTTTCGATATTAAAAAAAGAAGAAAAACTAAAAAAAAAACTAAAATTTGAGATGTCTCTAAATAGCTAAAAATTTAGTCTAAATATTTTGATCATTTCATCGTGTATAGAAAATATGCATCAAATATGTATTCTAATTTAAATTAAAGTGAGATTTTTCAAGTTTCTAAGAATAATATTTTTTTAATTATAATAAACCAGCAAATATCGATTGCTGGGAAATCTTTATTTCACATGTGAATATCCTACAATTTCATCAAATTTTGAACTTTTTGCTCTAATTACATTTTAAGAATGTTACTTATTCCTAAGTTACTAACCATGACGAATGAGTGTTTTATAAATTTAATTAGTTTAGTAAGTTTAAAGAATAAAAACAACTTAACATCATTTATTTATTACAGTTATGACAAGTTCACTAGACTGATTCGATTATTGTTTAATAGTTAACCTTTAAGTTCTTGCATTTCGTAACTAAAAGCCATCTGACATAACAAGATAGAAAGTTTAATAGGTTATAAGTAATACACTTTGCATTGCACAAAATATATCAATAAATTAGTTTTAGAAGCAGTGGGTATAGTGTATATGTCACCGGCAATATGAATAATTCAGGAATTTCGAAAAATGCCTAGGCATTATGTATACTGCCGACCCATTTTATTTAATGTTAATAAAACATATGATTTTCAATATTATTTTAAATATAACATAGGTATTTTATGATATACCTAGGCGTTATGTAAAATACCAATTTTTTTTAAGCAAAGTAAAAAAACAATTTATCATAATATGTTATAATATTATATTAAGATTCTTATAATTATAATATATTATTACTCATATTACAAAATCTAATTTGTATCTACTATCATATTTTTATACATAGGTATTGCTATATTATTAATAGTATTGTTATATTAAGTACTAATATTTATACATTTTACTTACTTCTATCAACTTATTACTACATGTTGTAGAAGAATGGAATTTTGAAGTGCAAAAAATATTATTTTTAAGGCAGATGCACTTTTTATTTTGATACTTGATCATACAAACACATTTTAAAAATCATTGGCTGGTTCCTGTCGACTGTTCTTAACGCCACTTTTATGCCAGTTGGAACATTGTAAATTTTTATTAGCTTTTTTTGACATACAGTGAACTGACTTCTGGCGTATCACTGCTTCAGAACTTCAGAATTTTAATCTTCATTGCACCAAATCGTGCACACTCGGACACGGTGCGTGCATTCACGATAAACTATAACTTATAAGTAAAGTCACTGGCGATACCCAATTTTGTTTATTTTTATCATATTTCCTACTCTACCTCGGGAATTATACATAATACCTAGGGAAAGCTTGTATTACGTATATTTCCGAGTGATTTTTGGCATTTTATATAATTCCTAGGTATTTTGTAAAATACCCGATTCTCCATATTGCCGGTAACATATACAACATACATACGTGCTTAAAAATGTGTGAATGATGTATTTAGTGATTACACTATTAACGTAGTTACACAACTTGTTAGTGCACCAATGACAATAATTTTATCATTGGTAATATTATTCAATGAAACTTATAAACCGAAAATAGGTAACCGGTAGAGTTTGGAATAAAAAATAATGAACGACTAACTAAAACTATGTAGGTGCAATAATATATCAATATTAAAAAGTCCATCACGATACTAAAATAAAAATGTTACCTATTGTAATAGATAATACTGATTTTTAATTATTAAAAATAATGTTCTTTTGGAGCGTTTGTTTGACATCTACAATAATTACTATACACACGATACACCGAAATTACAAAATACACGAAGATTTACAGTTTTCAGTGTTGAGATACCACTTGAAAAAATATCCTTGTAGGACACATCACACATTGAAGATAAGGTAACTAGTAAGTAATATCTAAACTTATGATTTTACCTATAAAAATTAAAAATTAAATAATTTGTCTTATAGAAAAATGTAATTGTATTCCTACATTTATGTTTATTAATTAATACGACGTGCAATTTTTGTTACTAACCCACATTACACTCCCATAATCTGTGTTTTTGAGCTTGCTAAATATAATACTTACTAAAAATATTAAAATTATAATATTGTCATCATAAATTTTTTTATGGATATATACTATGTAGGTACCTTAGTATTACAGTTACATCATTTACAATCTCCTACAAAATTAAAAATATACATAGGTAATATTGTAATATATTAACATGTACTACCTACAAGGTGATCCATTTATGTGGGTACATTCTTTGTTTCGAAAAGTTCTAACTTTTTAAAAAATATCATTTTTAATGTTTTTTATCGGTATTTAAGTTTTTATTTTTTTGAATGACAACATACATTTTTAACAGCACTGTTGTTACCATACTGTTTTAAATATATTTTTCACGTCTAGGTACTTGTTTTAAGTTTTTGCAACTATAATACCCACATAACAAACACCCGAAAACCCGGTTTGACGAGGGAGTATAATATTATTGTGATATGTGGCCATAAATCTAGCAAAAACACGCCGATAGCAACTGTTGTTATAAGACCTGAATGCACCAAGGTGATCTCCTGCGAGAGTAAAGGTTAATTCAACTACTGCGGCACACATAGCTTGTATACTCGACGTTCTTGAACGACCCATCATGTAATTTTCACTGTAACCGTAGGTACCGCGGTTGTAAAACAGCGGTCGTTTCGCAGTCATCGAAACTCCGTCGTCAACATTGTCACGCGGCTGCACGAAAACCGATTGAAACAATAAAATACATTGCAACCTGTTGGATAAAACAAACAATCAAGATGGAAGCAGAACAGCGACGCGACAACAGATCCTCGTCAAACGGTAAGCGCACAATATTATACAATCGTATTAATAATATTATTACGGTACTGTATGCACGATATAATAAATATTATAGATTCGTATTGTTAATATGTTATAATAATAATAATACATTGTACTCCTGGATATATTTTAGTAATATTAAATTGAAGTACCTACCAAGGTAATATAATATAGATAACTATATTTAGGCCTAATAAATATTTAAATATAATTTTAGTACACCCTTGAATTTGGGAAAATTCAATATTTTATATCACTAGACATCAATGACAGAACAATAAAATTGATAAATAGTGAGATTATAATACTATGTAGCAGTGACATATAATATGTATGTATAATATAGGTACCTATTGAAGTTACATAGGTCATGGATAACACAGATTTAATAATATTTGCAAGATGTAATCACTACCTAATCAACATTTTGTAGATAAATCTCCCAAATGTTGATGAAACGGAATATCGTATAATGAATTCATGTAACTATATTAAATCAAAGAAATATATTTTGTTAGTAAAAAGTAGGCAGTTGCCTATAAAATTAACATATGAATAAACTATATTAACTTATTTTTTAAATATCAAACTGCTTATGAATTTTAATTTTGATATTTTAATTAAATTAATTATATAATTAATGTTTTAAGCTTATAGTTGTGCACTGTATTTCAAGTATAAATTCGGTTACAATTTACTTAATTAATTCAAACAAATATACCTTTATCTTTATCTTTATGAAATGTGAAAAACGTGTAATTGTATCCCGGCACCATACCTAAGTCATAATAATTTAGTTCAATGTAAAAATACTTAACTAAATTAAAAGCATTTACAAATTATAAAACAAACTTAATTGAAAACTGTGTAGGGACATTACTCACTACGTACATACTAGGTACCTATATTGAAAGTTGTTGACGTTGAATGCTGAACCAGTTTATTAACTTTGGTCCATTGGTTCTGGTTTACCCTGGGAGTCTGGGAATGCAAACTAGAAATATTTTTCCTATTTTAACGAAAATAATAACTAATACTTATTAATACGTCATCAATCAAATTTTAATACAAATAACAATACCTATAATCCTACACAATGCACTATACCACTTACTTCTAAAAATATTTTAAATATTGTATTGCATAAAGATAATGACATCATTTTAAGAATTGTATAAATATATATTAATATATAGTACATACTTAAATATTATACTGTACGCCTGTATTATGCGATTGTTTACATATTTTCTTTAAACGTATAACTTTTTTACATTTTGAAATGGCTATAAGTTGTGAAAATATCAAGTATCTGAGACTATTATTTTCTAAATTTCAAAAAAAGAGTGAAGTTGATTTTATTGAAAATATTGTGCCATAAAGTTCACATTTTCTTTCTTTGTTTGATTTGTGATATAGTTTTTAAGTTCGAGAAAAGTTCTGAAAAAGTGAAAAATTATATGTTTAAGTTTCCAACTACCTACCTAGTTGACATTTCCTACATCTAGAAAGTTGCTATTGGTAGTAAGTACGTATACATAAAGTCAGCGTCACTCAAAATCTAAAAAATTAGTAATAAAAAGTCGTTTAACAAGTCATTGCTAACAATAAAAGGTTTATAATGAACACGGATAATAGGTAGTTACCTACATTGTATTGTACGAATTACGGTAAATACAATTATATCTTTAGTGCAAAAATTAATCATTCTGAACATTCTTTACAAACAATTAATAGAAAAATAGTATATTTTATACGTCATACTCGTAACATATTTTGTACCCTGCATAAATATTAAACACCTAAAAATAAATACTTAAATAGTTATGCACGTAGTACGTAACAATTTTTAATGAGCACCAAATGAAAATAATTCATTTCAAAATATTTAAAATGAAAATAGAAAAAAAATTTATCAATGATGTGGTGCCGAAAATTGTGGAATTGCAATACAATTTTATCACATTAAGGGATAGATATAATTAATATATTTTAGTCTGTACCCCAATACTAGCCGGTATCTATAAATAAATAACAAATATAAATATGTAAAATTTAAAAATATACAGTTAAAAAATAAATATGAAAGTAGGTAAATAAAAATATTTCCCGGATAATCCTTAGAATTTAATTATTTTAAGTATACCTACTTCATGTGTATTAGTACTTACTTTTAAACTTTTATAATACATACTCATTTATTTATTATATTAAATATTTAGTGTATTTATAATGGATATGACGTATATATTGTTTAATATTATATTTATTCAAACTGTCGTTATTTTACCGTACCTAAACTATACAGTGGTTCACGAGTTTTTAAGTCACAATTTTTACTATTTCTTTTATGAATGTAACTACTGCGTTTTTATTGGTAATAGTAGTCGTTTTAAATTGTTATTTTTTAATTACCATTTAAAGTTAGCCCAATCATAAAATAGATAGGTATGTACTATGTGGGTAGGTTCCTAAATGTACAATAGCAGTGCGTGATGTGATGCTATACTGTATTGAGTATTGGAAACTCACATAAAGGTAAGTTATAAATATATAAACATTATAGAAGTCATTAAGTATAAGCAATTCGACTGAAGAAAAAGGAAATTTAGTTTTCATTTATTTTTAAAATGTTAGGTATGTATTATGTGGTGTTTTTTTTGCAAAAGGTCGGACCCCGGAGGATTGGGTCCAATGCCGTTAGATAGATCGCCAATCGTATAAGCAGGAAGTAGATATACACATTTAAGACCATCAGTTCGTCCCCCTTGAGGCTTATCCCAAGAGACTTTAACTTTTAATTTTCAAACAGTAACCGGCTCTGGTCCTGGTCTGCAACTATATATAATATGGTAGTAACCAGTAAATGTTCAAAATACACTATTCTAATTTTTCTTTTCACGATATCGTTGAAACGAATAAAAAACGATTCCCTTGGGGTTATCGAGAAATATATATTCATATATTATTGTTTGGCACGGATGCCCGCATACCCGATGACGTTCTGCAAATTCTAACGGGGAGATGGAAGTCTTTTTATCCCCAGTCGTATTACAACAAACCCTCTAGTCAGATTTCCTTCATGTATAAAAGTCCTAAAACTTTTCCCTCGACTCAACCCTATGTTATTTGTGTCATTTCTGATACATGTAAAACCTAAGTACACACACACACATATAGGTATATAATATATATAATATTATGATTGCTTGATTCTGTGTACGCATCGCCTCCACACCACGTCCCTCACTGTGTAACTGATGTTTATGCCAATCAAGTTTGAGTACCGAAAACCATATAGATATCAGCTATATCTTCACAGAAGATCTCACTAAATTTATTTTTAAGTTTACAGTACACGTTACAATTTCACGTAAAACGTTTAATGGCATTATCTATACTTGTATTGTTACTTATTATTCATTAATCATCATCCATACTTATTTATCTGTGTAGTCTGTAGTATGAATATTATAGATACATCATACATTATTGGTTCATTTTACACAATTTCGCCGCTAATTATTATATTAAGTTTAACTAAAAAATTACTTGTGAGTAACTCTCAAAAAGAAAATTTTTCGTTCACTAATAAAAGCATTTAAACAGAATATAGTTGGATTGGTCTGTCCAAATGCACTTATTGTTTGAAAACATTTTTGAACATATTTTATAAATTATAAAACGTAGTTAGTAGTACTAGCACTTGTTTGATTAATCAAGTACATAACAACTAGATGTGCCGCTTGTACCTATTCATTATTTTTTTTTGTATTAAAATAACCAAACCATTAAACATTCAAAACTTAAAGGATAAACAAGGCCAAACCCAACAAACACATAATAACATTTAATAATGGCAAAAGATTTTAAATGTTGTTGTTTTTTAGGAGAACGGGCACCTTCAAACATTGTCTTGGAGTATTTACCAATGGTCACCAAAGTTGTAGTAGGCATTCTACATTCAATATATGCATTCATCAACCTAGCATTTCTATGCATATACCCAGTAGAAAAATCTTTAAAAGATAAAGTTGTACTCGTAAGTATATACAGTTCAAAACTTAATACTTTTAATTATTAACTAAGTAGTTTATGACTTATAATACCTACTTATAAATCATAATATAGACGGTAGATATATACCTAGGCAATCTTAGCATTTTATCCCAATTAGGTATCTACTTTAAATTGTTACTATATAAATATTTAATGTTACCTAACTAGCAACTCGTACATATAACAATATTTGTTTTATTTAAATATACTTTAAATAAAAATAATTAGAATATTATGAATGATGAATTAATACTAATTGAAAGTTCAATTTTATTTTCACCTTCTTAATCACAACGTATAAACAATTATTGTGTTCTATATTTCATAATTTGTTTTACATTTCAAAATACTTATCTATACTTTTTATATAATTTAAGAGGTTGATAATAGTCTTGTAATATAATTATTAATCACCATAATATGTAAACAATATATGCTATCTATAAATACAAATATAATGTACCTAGGTTAAAACCTATTAGTTTTTTTAAAATTATAAATTCACAATTTCGGTAACTGTACTTACTCCAGGTTATCTAGGTATAGTAGTATAAAACGTAAGGGGAACACTTTTTAAATCTTTCTGACTTCGATGAATATTAATTATATTGCACAGTGATTATTATTGGTATAATATAAAACCATTAACATTTTGCCGGGAAAAACTCATAGATAACTTTGTCAGTGTCAACGAACATATGAGAGCCATTAAAATTGACTGTATAGGTACTCAACCACTTTTAATAGTGATTTTTGATAATTTCGTGATTGAATCTGTTGACAAACCCATTAAAACGTGGCCCACTAGGTGACGGGCGCCGGCAGGGGACTTGGTAGGGAGATGAGCTACCTGTTGGCCAAAGAGGGTGCTAAAGTGGTGTGCGTGGACATAAACGCGGAAGGCGTCAAGGAGACGGCGGACGTGATCAACCGCGGACGGACGGGCGCGGACGCGGGAGCCGACTTTTACACGACCAACGTGGCCGAACCGAGCCAGGTGAACGAATTGGCCAAGGCGGTGGAAGAGAAATGGGGCAAGGTGGACGTACTGATCAACAACGCGGGAATTGTGGCCAGCGCGCCGCTGATGGACACCACTGATGAACAAATTAAGCGCATGATCGACGTCAACCTGGTTTCACACTTTTGGGTGAGTGTCGCAACAGTATAAATAATGGAGTAACTATTATATAATTAGAGTAAATTAAAAAAGAAACAAATTCACCCCCAACTCATACATATTTTCATCTCCAACACCAAATGCAATACTATTTTCAATATTGTTTTGATACCATGCAAATTTGAAACATATAATTGGAAGATTCGATTCTAGATGCTCGTTCACGAAATCGATTTCTATTCAAATATATAATAAGAATAACTACCTAATATTAGATACGACCATAATTTATTTTCGTCTTCGTCACTGCAAATAATCAATTAAATATAAGTATTAATGAAACTACTTATAATTTATATATAATATAATCAAATGCCCTTTAGGCAGTTATATTCTGTAGCCTTTCTTCAATTTCGAATGTACTCATTCGTTATTTACTGCAGCTTCCTTCTCCTGCCCTGTTATTGTTAATCTTCTCTTAAATTTACCTATTGTACATTTAGTAGGTATAAGTTATAAACGTTATTTAAAAAAAAAAACTTTTCGTTCAAAAATGATGAGGTTCAACATCATAACTTATTCACCAAATGTTAGTAGTGTTAAAATTTAAACGAAAAATGAAAAATACACAATTAATTACGTCGAAAACGCAGCAATTACATTAAATGCAATATTGTTGTGGACTCGTTGTCGAAAACGTAGTACAAATACGGTAGGTAGGTAGGTATAGGTCATAGGACCTACCTCGGTAATTATATTTGTCATTAGTGGGCAAAGACAATTTTATTATTATTTAACTATAATTATGGCCGAGTCGCACGAAACTGTTAAATTAAATCGTTTTAACGCTGGCCGTTTCACAGATGGCAGGGTGAATATATATAATATGCGTGTGTGTGTGTAATACGTCAGTCCATGCAGTTATATAGGCTCGTACAACAATAATAGTTTCATGGGTCATTACTTATATTAGGGTACCTACGTGATACCGCGTGGTGATGAGCCAGGTTCAAAGGCTCATTTATTCTAAATTGCCCTGCACAATCATGATGATCCTGATCATTTTTGTCGGTACTTTTAAAACCAAACGATGTTCAAGTACCTATCTAGGTATATTCTATACACCCACATTTGTCTTTGAAACGCAATCGGATTTTTATCCAAATATACTTTTATAATTCGGCCTTTCTAGTCGTCGATAGTTAAAAAATAAACTATTGTAAGCTTATCGTCGACGTGCTACGTGTATAGCCAATCGCAAATAGGTACGCATAGCCGTATATACGTATGCACAAACATTTTTGTCCGCAGATAGCCGATAGGTGTATCTAGGTATGTTTTCAACACCACGTTAGTATTAGTATATCAGCTCTTTAATTAAATCGTATTCCACAATATCAACAAGAACTCTACAATAATATTATGTCGAATCATCCTCTGACGACGGTGCGTTCAAATGAAAACTATATTATGTCATAATGATCCATCGTTGGTCATTGTGTAACGATAATAGCACACACACTTTATTATAAAGTGTGGTTGCAATCGTTGTAGGTGATGGTAGATCATATTGCAATGCGAATGCTCGCACTTAGTTTTTATGCGATGACAGACAATTATTTTAAATTGAAAACCTCACGAGTGTACCTATAATAAAAAAAAATCCGCCGTGATATAACTATTCGCCATATTTAATGCCAACATTCGATGAGATTTCTGTTTCAATTTGATTAATTGACACTTGTAAGTTTATAGCAGATAATAGGTATCTATAGTCTCGTCGATAATGGGTGTACCACACACGTTAGCTACCTGCTATGTACTAATTTAATATTTATAAACTCGTATTTTTGGCCTCTAAACGCGACAAGCCACTAAAAGAATCGAGGTCGTTGATTCACAAATCCAATTAAATATATTTTACGCAAAAGTCAAACGCGGCTACAACACAGCTCATTGTACTTACCTACACGACGTGCATATTACTATCTATTAATATACAATAATAATAACGGGAGTTTACCAATTGCGCTTAAAATGACCTTTTAATATACTAATTGCTCTCTGTTTTTTTTGGGTCGATATACCAATTGCGCTCTGTATTTTTTGGGTCGATATGCCAATTGCGCTATGTCTTTTTTTGGGTTGATAGACCAATTGCGCTCAGTTGTTTTCAGGGTTTATAATATTTTTACAATAAACGTTAATATTAATATTAATTGTACAATATAAATCTATACCAAATTATACACATAGATACAAGTCAATAATACATAATTAATATACATAAAAATATAAAAATATAATTACAATTTATGTTTCCATTTAATGTTTTTTATATTTTACTGTAATAATAAGAAACTGGTTTTAAAAATTCTTTGCTTTTAATTTTTCCGGATTTGTATTTCTAAATAATAGATCCTATGGCCACTTTTTTCACTAAATACGCTCGGTTTGGTGTATATTTATCTTCTTTAGTACTGTTTATTGTAGTATAGGTAAGTGTTGGTTTGTATTTCTATAATTGCTTTTAGAAAGACAAAAATATTTGGATGTGAGGAATAAAAATTTGATGAAAACCTTCACATGCATTGGTTAGGTTAGGTTACGTACGTTCAAAGCTTATTGTATTCGATGCCCACAGTATGGGGGGGAATGTAGAGGTTGATGATATATCATTTTCAACGATATAGTCAGTGAATTTAGTAACATTTGAATTCGTTGGCTAAATTGTCATTAATTCATTTATAAAAACATCCTCCACTTCATAGTGTGGAAAAAGTGACAAGCCAAAAATTAAATGTAGCCATTTTCCTATTTCAGAATCTATGTTTTTATACTCAGCTTATAGTCCATATCTTTGGATATTCCTCCACTAAGCTTGTGTGAAATTAAACCTACAACCTACCAGAGTTATTGAAGGCCAAACTTTTTAAACAGCAAAATGAATCGCTTGTTCAAAATCGGCAACGACTGTTTTTGGACTAAAATAAAGGTTAAAAGTTGCACATTTACTGTGTATATTCATATGTAACTTTTTCCGCCGTGTAGTAACTTACATATGCCCATGCAAAAATAAGGAACCTACAATATAAGTAGCGCAATTGGTGTACTGACCTAAAATTTAAGCGGCGCAATTGGTATACTGACCTAAAATTTAAGCGGCGCAATTGGTATACTGACCTAAAATTTAAGCGGCGCAATTGGTATACTGACCTAAAATACAAATATTGTTTTAGGCGCAACTGGTCCATGCCCATAATAACGATGTACAGTGTATGAGTGAAACCTCTGTTTGCGGACCCGCCGCCTTAATTGCGGACATATTTTAATTTCCTACGGTGTCCGCTGTACAGAGGTTTCGCTGTAGTAATAATGTTATATAATATGTATCATGTAGCCTGGAAGTGTTTAATCCTAACGGGATTGTATAAAGTTTAACAGCACGCTTGAGGAAGAGTATAATCTATATTTATACATATAGGTATAGTGTATACCCTTGCAACCTTCGTTCATATATATATATTCACATACATATTATTATAATATACATACAGAATGTAACGGGAACGAATAGAAAAGAAATCGACGTATATCCTTAAAAAAAAAAAAAAAAATGACATCATATTATCTCGGAACATAACGTGGAACGCGATAAATATATATGGGGCGTTCCATTAAATTTACATTTCGGATGTAACACGTGACGTCCAAAACATAATAATAATATGTAAAACTCCCGCAACTGCAGTAAAAACGTACCCACAGGAATATGATAAAAGCTCGCGAAACGGAAACGCTTACGAGCTCATTGCCGTAGAAACAAAACCACTATATATTATATATAATATACAGGTATCATCCGGGTGTATTTAAATCCCAATGGTCGCATTCGAAACACACTCGGAAAATAAGTCTCGACATTGCTCATAAAAGTATACGGTTTCCCGTAATTTTGAATATGGGGTCGTAAAATAAAACCACGCGTCTCCGGTGCGATAACTTTCGGACACGACTTTCGGAACGAAATGTTGTATAATATATAATATAGGTACCTATTATATCCTATTATATTAAAACGCGCGTTTACAACCGTCGTTAAAATACTTATGAGTGCAAAACGATTCGACTCCGTCCTGCGTGTAGGCACGAGTAAAATATTGTCGGTCCTCACCTATGTAGGTATGCGCAGTGGAGTTGGTAATAGATTTAGGTACTTGCCCCCAGCTGCGCCGCCGATGGTTTTATTGTAGGTACGAGTGCATTAATCTCGGCGACGCGTTATACTCGCCACTATTATATAATCGCTGTACTGCGTGAAAATAAAAAATTAAAATGAAAATTAAAAAAATTATTAGTCAGTGTAAGTACTCGATCGTTTCGGAAATAGGCACCTACGTGTTGGACGTTTTTTTCTATAATATTATAGGTACGATAACGATGTAACTCTACGGTCAAACCAGTATCGCACACATTCTGAAAACAGTCACACAATTTCACACTAATGGCATCCTAATGATTAGCAAAAGAAAATTTTCAAAAATTAAATTTTTTTTTGGGGGGGGGGGGCTGGTGAAATGTACTCATAGGTGTACTCTATTTGTCATTCCGCGATGCCACCGACAACAATTGCAGGTAGTGACTGTAGTGACACTATTGTATAAAATTATGTAGACACAATAACTTCCCAAATAATATGCACCACTGCACCAGTATAATAGTGGGGCAGTGGCGTATATATAGGAATATTTAGCCTTTATAGGGCTTGTTGGGACTTGGGAAAGAGTGTGATGTATGTTAACAAAACAAATGACTAATAAATTAACACAAGAAAAACAGTGAAACCTTTTTCTAAGTCATAATTGAATTAGAAATGCCGGAGAACTCACTTAACCGTATAGACGTATAGTATAAGTATCGATTATACATTTATAAATACTAGTAATCAATGGTATTCGGTTTCAAGTGTACCTCGTCATTGATTAGCACTGTAAAGTTTAAAGGTAGTGGGCAATACAGTGTAGGATGGACTTATTTTTTTCCATAATATCGCATAGGTGTTAAGGTATATTACGTAATATTAATGTTATTAATTTATGAGTAAATACCGACTTACCTTACAATGGTATGATAAATGAATATATTCATTGTATAAATAGCTTAAAATCACTAAATATTAAAACAATTATATGGTGTATTTGTGTATAAAAAATACTAATAATATAGGTGTATAGGTGCATACATAATGGTGAAACTTTTCAAGTTCCTAAGTTTTTGAATTACAACAAAATAACTAAAATCTTTGGAAGAAAAAATAGTTATTTTCATTGAATATATTTTGTTTAACGCTATAAGAAGAACTTATGAAGAACCTTTTTAATTTTCAATCTTTTCAACACAAAATGTAAAAAAAAAAATAAAAAGTTGAAAATGCATGTATAAAAGCTCAACAAAATCTAAAATATTTTGAAAATGACTTTATCAAAATAAATATCAAGTCTAGAAAATGTTAACATAAATATTTAGTGAACATTTCAAAAATAATAAACTGTCGTTATGCTTAGTTCGATTCAATTTACTAGATTCCAGAAACCACCCTACATTTTGAAGGTTTGAGCATTGTTATTGTTTCAAAACATGACATCAGATAAAAACACACACACACACACACACACACATCATTATAAAATAAATACATGTTTTATCATTAATTACTTCGGTCAGAATCTTATCACTGGAGGAGTAGTTCTGCTACATTGTAAATGTCAATTAATCTCGACTAATCGAGTGTGGGTATAGCTCTTCATTGAGTAGGCCATTAGATAGATGAATAAAATGTTGAATTTGATAGACAATAATAATCAATAAATCATTGCATAAAATAAAACATTCTTCGTTGAACCAAATCGATATATTTACTGATCCACTTGGAATCTAAAATCTAAATGACAATACAAACTTAACCTACAGTAGATAATAATTTCAAACACATAACACATCGATAGAAGTTCTATAGTTATTTAACCTTATACTTTTATAGTTTATGCTCATTAAATTCATCATTTCTTTGGTAATTTAAGTAGATAATAGCTGAATAGCCCTCTGCCCCTCTTGCCACTTCTGTAAATATACGCCACTGCTCACTGTTTTTAAGTTTGATAAACATTCAGCCTTTATAACAAGACTATCAGAGATGGGTAAACACTGAGGTTGGGGGTCCCATAAAATAATAGATTTAGTGTTTTGAAAAAATGAAGTAAGGTGCTTATAATAGTAGATTTTCTTAGTATGATCATGTACATATTAGGTATACAGCTAACGAGTCTGGGCAAGTTATAGTGATAATATATATAAATGATTAATATTAATTTAGTTAAAATTACATTAATACGTTACACACTTTGTTGGTTTTAAAAAATTTTTCAAAGTGTATTAAAATTAACTACCAACCCTCCTAAAACCCTATTAGACATGAGTAAATTTATAAAAGAAAAACAATTTTTCCTTATGTTGATGTAGCTTTAAGAATGTTCCTTTGTAATTTGGCCTCCAACTATTTAACCGAAAGGTCTTTTTCTACACTCCATAGAATAAAAAATTATTTAAGATCATCTATGTCTTCAGAAAGACTTAATAGTCTTGCAGTTCTTAACATAGAAGCTACTCTTACTAAAAGCTTAAATTACTCAGATGTGATAAAAACATTTGCAGCAAAACAAGCAAGAAAAAAAACTGAAGTAATGATTTTATAATATATTATAAGGAATTTGATAGTATGTTATATATTTTATATTTATTTTATATTTTATTAGTATATTACTTATATTCTGTTATTTTTTACATTTTTAAATATATTATTAATATTGCCCACGGGCGCCAAAATCTTAAATACGGCCCTGTACCTACCCCTTTTCTCCTCACGTTTGGATCATTGCGCGATCGTTTTACCCAGGCAACAACATATAAGTAATTCGCCTTTTTTATATTTACAGATGCTACGAGCCTTTTTACCGGCCATGAAGAAGCGCAACGAAGGCCACATCGTTGCCACGTCCTCGGTAGCGGCATTCACGTGTGCGGCCAACATCGTGCCTTATGCAGCCACCAAATACGGTGTAACGGGTAAGACGTCAATCATAAGACTTAAATAGTTAAATACCTACCTACCTACCTACCTACCTAATGCCTATAGAGACAGTACCTATATAACATGATAAATGTACATTTACTTATATTATACTTAATGTATTATTTTGGATTTATTCTTAAATCGATGTGGTTTTTTTAAGTATGTGTATTATATTATAAACAAAACATCTATTGGTACCTGTATTCTATATTATTATATGTTATTGTGTAATGTGTATATAGTTTGTACGTTCTGTTACCTCCTCTGCAGGTCTGATGGCCAGTCTTAGGGAAGAGCTCAGGGCCAACCCGTCGAACAACATAAAAACCACTACCGTTCATCCGTTCTTTTTGGACTCTGCTCCAATAAACGTTAAACATTGGGAAGTAAAGTGAGTAAAATATGATAAACTATTATAATATATTTATATGCCTGCAACTACAGTCAAAACTCTTTATAACGAATCTGAAGGGACCAAGAGATTTCTTTCGTTATAGAGAGTTTTCGTAATAGAGAGGGTTTAAAAAAAAACAAAATTTTAATTATTTATCAAACACATCATTATTTTTACATTATTTTATATATATTTACGTATTATATTAAATTATTATTATTATTATTATACATACTTATTAAATATAATTTAATTTTTATACTATACATATTTATACTTTATTTAAAATAGTCTGTCATCTTAGTTTGGACTTTTTTATTCGGCATTATTGCCGATTATTTTTATAGTTTATATATGTAATGGATACGATAACACGTAAATTGTATTATGAAACATAAAATATTGTTTCGTTATTGAGAGTGACTAATACGTTATAGAGAATGAATTGTCTAATGGGTTATATAGCAAACCAACCATTATTATGTAATGTTTACGTTATATAGAGTTTTTCGTTGTAAAGAGTTTCGTTATAAAGAGTTTTGACTGTATATAATATGTGCGCAGTATAGAACTGATATTGTAGTTTGATTGTTCATGTGAATTGCAAAAATTTCACAATCGTCAGTACCTTCTATATTGTTATAAAACCACATGCATTTACCTAAGTATTCAGTGCCGTAGCCAGGGTGGGGGCTTTTTTTTATGTATCATAAAGTAACAAATAATGGATGATAAGAATTCAAGTTCTAAAAAATTAGAAAAAAAAATTCTATTTCCGGGCTTACCTATGACACCATAATTAAATATTTCTCAATAACTCGATGACTTGTTCTATGCCTTTAAATATTATAATGGCACTTTTTTAGGGGTTTAAGTTTGAACCTATATTAATCCGATACTTAAAAAAACGAAAAAATGGTGACAAATCCCAATATAGATGCAGCTGATAATATAATATAAATTATTATCATTGAATACCGGTATTCAAAAGAACCAAATTGAAATATTTTAACTACGACAACAGATTTTTGTTTCCACAATAACCAACATTTAACTTGAGATTTCGTTGGGTTGAAATGTAGAATAATATTCTAATCGAAGCTAACTTTATATTGTTTGAAAATTGAAAGATCGACGTTGCCAATCGTTTCCATTCCTCAAGTTGCCCGTGCAGCAATTCAAGGCATTAAAAGAGAAGACGTCATTGTAACCGTTCCAGAAATATTGAGACTGATCATGCATGTATTATGGTAAGCACATTACATTTAGAAATTAATAATATAAAACATAATGTATTAATGCGAAATAGTTGAGTTCCTAGGTACCTTCTTAGCGACTCTAAGGGCCCTGGATAATATTATTATACATCAGTTGGTTGGTATCAAAATTACGAACACGACTTTAGTAACCTCATAGAGATGATAGGTACTCAGCAAAGTAAAATAAGTCATCAATTCGTATAACCATGTAATGTAATATTAAACTTTTTTAAATTTTCTCCGAAACGACAAATTAATAAACCTAGGAATTTAACACATTGTCATACCTAGGTAAATAACCTTCTATTTTTGTTCCATTTACGAGTATTAAAAAGGCTTTATAAAACTATACCTAAAGTCCCAAAAGGTCTGGTCAGATATAACATGGTCAAATTTCATCGTCAATCCTCAACCAAAATAGTATAAATGTAAATATAAGCTACGGTTTAAGAAATATTTTCTACCTATACATTGTTATTTGTCTTAATCTATAAATTATATTGTTTATTAAAAACGAATTAAAAATAAATTAATGCATACCTATTAATGATTTAATATTTTTGTTCATTAATGACATTTGATAAAAAATTTATTTTAACATGAAAGTAATTAAATAACTTTACATCTTACAAGTTTTATTATATCACATACTAGATAAATATGATTTTTACAAAATTACTTAATATTAAAAATTAATAGTATTATTTTTTTCAGGATTGTGCCTCAGAAATCAGCTGATTATTGGCGAGACGCTTTTAGTTCAAAAATCAATAAAGCTTAATTTGCTTCAAACATAAATTATTGAATTGAATGACTTAAAAGTCTAAATATTTATTATATTATGTACATTTTAATTATAGACTTCATACAGTTTTTCAACAAATTTTGCTACTTGTATGCATATTATAGTTATAAAACTACAAATATTTGTAAGTAGTAGTAGCTGTAGTTTCAATTACAAATTTCAAAATTATATTCAGTTCTCGGTTTATTTATTTCATTGATTAAATATATAAGTAGTACCTATTTATTTACTCACTATATTTATATTTTAAGCAACAATGCACGTAAAATACTAAAATTAATTTATAAAATACCTGTTTTAATTTAATTACATTAATAATATTCATAATGAGTAAACATTTCAAGACTCACATATATATTTTTTAATTACAATAAAATAACTAAAATCAATAGATCTTTCTTTGAATATTCAATTTGCACAAAATTTAAAATTCAAATAACTAGAACAAAATTATGCATATGTAATTATTTGATTTATAGGTTTCTGTAAGTATGAGGATCCTAGTAGTCAATTTCCGAGCTTTAGCTATAAAAATTGAACATTTTGCCATTTATTTTTAACTACAAAATTATTACTAAAATGTAGTGATTTTGATGAATCCTGTCAAAATTCGAAATTCAAACACTTATAAAAAGATATGGGGGATTTATGCACAACTTTTTATTTTATTCCAGTCCCTAATAACAAATTATGAAGAAATTCATATTAAATTTATATGTTTTTTAAAATATGAAAAAAAAATCAAATTTTTAAATTTCCTAAAATATATTACTCAAAAACCGTCCAACCATTTTAAAAATCATAGCATGCATAAAAAATGCTAATTTAGGTGTTTGTTTTTTGAATTACTAGAAATTAAAAAAATCTATTTTATCAAAAACTGGTTTTTGCTTAAAAAATGTACACTTTTTCCACATTCTTACTGAGAATGGAATTTTTCATTCTCCCTTACCCACAAGTAACAACTAGATTCACTATCATGCAATAAAAGATATTGATGTTGAAAATCAGAGCATTTTTACTGTTCCAAAAGGCGATGATGGCCACAAAAAAACACATCATTAAATACTTGTAACATCAATACATTCATCATTGAGCTCAGAATCTAAAATTGATTGTTAAAATTTGTAAAAAACAAAAAGGAATTTTTAGGTCACTAGTAAGTACATCTTTATATTTAAAAATGTATGCACATTGCATTAAATTCAAAATCTCCAAACCTTCCAAACCTAACCAAGTAAAAAAAGATTTTTAAAAAATGGACAAATCAATGTAACACACTGGTCTAAATTATTTATTTAATAACACAAAACACCATTTTGAATTATTTTTTCAAATGTTTACTTTATTTATATATTTTGTACATACCAAAATATGGCAAATATAAGAATTTATAAAATACTGCCAGTGACTTAATGCAATTTACAATACATAATTAATAATAATGAAAAATATTTAAACATTTGTAATTTATTTATTCAGAAAAATAAGAATATAGTTTTTATAAAGGCTTTTCTTCCTAAATACAGTATTACAGTGCAATCCAACAGATCTTGTCATAACAACAGGATAGATTATAATAAAGGGTTCTTTAGAACTCTGTACATGTTATATAGTAAATACGTGTCACATAAAATTTGGGCAGAAATATAACATTTAACTATAAATACTATTGTATGATTAAAAATGATTAATATTGTGATGTTTGGAACTATACATAGACTATCAATACATGACAAATATCTCAATAATTACATGATAAAACAAGAATTACGTTTCATTTATCAAAAATACACGTGTCTCTAGAAAAATGTATAAATAATACTAACTTATATTATAATCAAATAATTATTACAATCACAATCATAAATTATTGTTTCTTGTTCATATTATAGAAATATTTAATATATTTCAGATAAACAAGATTATACAGTAATCTGTATTATACTTTCAATACCATAATTTAATTAAAGTGTCATTTATATCACACAATTGAAAATATGTTGAAAAATAAGCTTTACATCTTTATTAAAAACATTTATGCCGAGTGACACAGAACATTGATTATTTTAATGGTTCACTAAAATTAATGGATCAATCATGGGCTATTAAAATTATTTAATCATACTTTCATGTTTAAGGGATCATTAGATCATTAGTGCATTAAAAAATTAGTAATTGTTCATGTAACCTGGCATATAAAATTATAGTTGCTTGATAGTAACATGATTATTAAATCATAATTATGTATTAATGCAATGTGAGTAACACTACTACAATTTTAAATTCACTGCATACTAATGTTATAATGCATACATAGCTTAAATGTTTGATATTTTAATCTCATATAAACAAAGTACATACAAAAAGCTATTTACAAACTGGAATTAAAATAAGTGATTTCTATAAACTCTCCGTGAAACAATCATTGCGAGTGTATAAAGTAAAATGTAAAATTGTCTATTGAATAAGCACTGAATAATTAATTTAATTTCAATAGCACCTTTTTAAAGTGTCCACAATGGTAACACGGAAATTCATTTCAAGGTAATAGGCTTTTATTTTGTATAATATTGCATACCTATTTTGAAGTTTTAAATATTTGGCATATTTTGGAATAATCAAGCATTTTAAATTTGTTTAAGTTATTGTTAACAAATGGTTGAAAGTTTTAGTGTAAGTGCCTACCAATTTTTTTTATGACAATCAAAAACAAAATTTGTTTAAAAATTTAAAAATACCATTTACATTTTATAATATGATTAATATTGTTATATCTTATTAAAAAAGTTAGACAGCAAAAATAATGCTTGTAGTAGATTTGTATGTTTTTATTGCATTTAAAGATTTTTTTACTTATTTGAGCAATTTTAGTTGCATATATATTCTAGTGTTTTCTTAGTACATGCACTCTAAAAGCCCTGAATATAACTGAATATAAAGATAAAACTAAAATTGGGCTATTAAGGCAGTGCTTATGAAAAAAAAGATAACATCAACATAAAGCCTAAAAAAAAAAGACCAGATTCTCGTGCAAATGCAACTTTATATTGAGTTCCAGAATCTATAGAAACAAGTTATAAATCCGAATCAAGCGAATTAGACTAATTTGAACAAATTTATATTTTGCACGAATATGTATACATTTTTTAAAAAGTTTTGAACACCATTACCCTAAATATTAAAGAACAAATTGGACAAAGTTTGAATCATATATTGGCTTTTTTACAGGCAATGACCATGTGCACAGCTAGTATACAATAAATGGTAATGGAAATATAATTTTACATACCTAAAGTGAAAAAATTGTTCATTAATTCAGTGGTTCTCCATCTTTTTAGTACTGCGACCCAAATTTCAGTTGAAAAATCTTTCGCGACCTACATTGTTTCACTTTTCAAAAAGTAGTCAAAAACAAAATTTGTATCATATAAATATGTATACATTTTTAATAGGTACTTAGTTTTTTATAAGTTAGTAATTAATATGAGTAAAATTATAGTTAATATAATTAAAATGTACTTTTAATAATGAGGTACCTATCACACATTTTTTGGAATCTATAAAATTCACAAAAAAAAGTTTGAGACCCACCAAAAATTGACTGACGACCCACCAGTCGACCCACACTTTGAGAAACGAAGCTCTAATTCATAAATTACACATTTTATACTCGTCAGCATTTTAACTGCAAGTTGATCAGATATTTGGTGCACAAAAATCCGGTCCTTACCTATAAAATATTAATTAGAGTCAATTTTAAATTGAAAGATTTAGAATTTTTAATGCAATATTAATACATTTTGCTTAACTAAAATCTAAATGGGGGTCGTCCCCAATTATTTTATCTTAATTGGACTGTTCGTCAAAGAGTACAGCAAATGTTTTAAAAATACAGAATATTAAAAAATATTTAACTTAGGTGGATAAAAATCAATTAAATTAAATAGGACTACATACTTTAATCTACCATGACTCATGAGTAGCTTTCATTAAGTTTTCATTTTCATTAAGTCAAACAATAAATTACAATATTATGTAATATAATAACTCAACTACATTATTTTTATTAAATCTAGGGTGGCCCACTTAAATGAACTTATGATAATACTTGAGTTCTTCTGGTTTGTTGCAACCAACATTGACTTAACCCGATTTAATAAATTACCGAAAGAAAAAAGGAGGTAACTTATACATCTATAATTAATGACTAAAGGAAGTCGGGATCAATTCAATATCATGTTGTGATCAACCTGTTAGCCACCCTTGATCTATATAATACATTAAAATGATGTGTGTTTGTTAGAACTCACTGATCACTAAAGTTTTGTAAAACAAAATCATTTATTCTTATCCAAATTTTTATTACTAAAAAATTAGCTTGATCAAATGAAAAACAATTTAAAATTGAATATACTCAAGTATTTTATAAGAAATTGTACTTGTTTGCTATTATTGCCTTGCCACCACTCAGTATAAAATTTATCACCCATACAATTTATCTATCACTATGCCATTGTTTTTTAAATTTACTGCCACACGTCAACTTTTAAATAAACGTAAATAGTATTAATGTATTCTTTAGGATTAATAGCAGCATAATTAATAATTAATATTTCATAATAAATACAGAAAATAAGGACATTTCCTAAAGAGATTATTAAATATCAAATATTTTAGAAGTATTTACCATTTTCCATAAATATATCACATATTAAACTAGGCATGTCAAACTTATACTATGAACAGGGCTAAATATATTGAATAGTTGACTATGCAGGCACATTTACTGTGCACATAATTTATCAAAAAAACACATTTCAAACAAATTTTCAATTGTATTCATCATTTATAACACTATACAATACTCATTCAATTACATTTTATCAGAAGATAATACAAAAAAGTAATGATGTATACCTCTTACTAACATAGTTGTGACACAAAAGGAAAATTGTATAACTTTTATTATTCATTTTTTTTTCAATAAATTGTTCATTATAATTGCTATCCACAGGCCATAACAAAATAAGCCAGATGCCACATGCGACCCGCGTGTTTGACATGGCTGTACTATACTAACCTACATGTAAAATATTGAGGTATAGAGATATCAAAACTTTAGATTAAAGTATGCTGGCGTAACGTTGCCAGATGGGAGGATGATAAATTTTAAGTGGTTAAAAAACAAACGAGTACCTTAACTATTAAAATTAAAAAAATTATTTGAATTTATAAATGTAAAAATTTGATTGAATGAAAAATATGTGAACAGTGAAATAACTTTTGAGGCCACCCGGGCAAGATATAAAAGCTCATGATAGATTAAAATAAAAATAATTTTCAAATAAAAACCGCGAGAAAAATTTGTTGATCTTAATAATAATGCATAATGTATATCTTATCAACATTATCATTGTTTTCTAATTTCATTGAGAAGTAGATGGTTTTTCTGAATCATATAAATATTTCTTATCTCCTTCTTCTTTGTGTTCATCACGTTGTCTTTTTAAACTATCAAGGTACTCTTGTTGTGAAGTAGCCAACACTTTTGTTAGGATACCAATATCTTCCCATTTTGACATGCCTTAGTGATAAATAAAGTATAAGACACAGTAATAATTTATGCAGCTAAAATATATTTACCAAAAAGATGTGGAGGTAATGTGACAAATGTTGGATTATCTATTTCTGAACGATCTCTACGAGGAGATAAATTAGGTGGAGTTTTAGGTCCAACTGAATATCTTGGAGGCGAAGTTCGAGATTGATATGATTTGATAATAGATGCAGAAGTGGCAGTTGATGTGGCTGACGACTCTTTATCATTCTGTAATTATTAATTATTTTAATAATTTTAATTGTAATCAACATTTAGATTTGTAAAATCACTTTATTTCTTTTTTCGTTATCTTTTAAAAATTGTAAATAACTTTCACGTGCTATTTGTTCTTCAATTGTATCATTTGTGGCTTCCCAATCTGTAGCTCTGAGTTTATCTTCTAACATTGTCTGTACATATCAAAATTATATTATTATTGCATATACATCAAAAAATGTTAAAACATAATGCTTCTTCAAACAAAAATGAATTAATGTTTATAAGCTTTTTTGAAAAAATGTTAGTAATTAGTAACCAAAACTCAACTTAAAACTCAAAACATAAAATAGTAATTAATTGAATTGATTATTATCTATTTAGCTAAAATTAAGTAGTGATTTTAATAAAAATTATTATATTCAAGACACTAACGCTAGGTTGTATAGACAATCATATGACATTTCATGAATCAGTGCTAATGGTCTTTTAAACATGATTTAATGTCCCACGGTTAATCCATTAAATTAATCAATTTTCTATGCAACCCAATAGTAACAATGGCTCTTGAATAATAATAATAAATATTTTTAATATAAGACTTTTTTGGCATAATTAGTTGTTATAAAGTATCAAGTATAAGAAATATATTTAAAATACTTTTATCCGTAAAATGTTATGCGTAATTTACCTGTTCTAACATGTAATCTTCGCTTTGGCGAACAGCATCAGTCAACAATTTTTTATCGGCTGAACCAGGTGAAAAACTTGGTAATCCTAATCCTATACCAATTGTTGCTTTATGTGGATCTACAATACTGTTATAATGACTTCCTCTTTGATAAGACAATCTTATCGGTGGATTAGAGGACTCTGATGTGTTAGCTCTATTGAAAATGTTTATTGGTTCTTAAAAAAAAAATAATAATAATAATATTTTAAACATAATTTATTAAGAACTTCAAAGTTAAATTAATTTACCAATGTCATAACAATAAACTTCAATTGGGCGGTTATATAACTCAGACATAGCATGTATTTCCACATGGTTTCCATGAGTCCGATCTAGTCTTTTACGAGCAATATAAGTGTTGAAATCTTCAGTAACATACTGCATATAGTAATCTTTATTGCTTGACTAAAAAGTAATAACAATTAACTAAATAGTTTTTGTGTAAAATTAAATGCATGTTAGACATTTAGGAAGTATAGATTTTAATTTAATTCAAAAATTTGAATCAAAGGAAGGAATAATAATAATGTTCATATTTAAAAATAATTGGCGCCGACTAATTTAATAAAGTAGAATATTTATAATGAAAAAATCCAATAGCAATAGAATTTTCAAAGAGAGAAATGAAATTGTACCATGATTAAAAAAACATTAAAAGTTAGATTTAAAATAATATAGTACAACAAATAATAAAAAAAAAGATTTGTTCCACTATAAAAATTACTCACAACATAATCCATGCATTGTTTACGAACTATATCATGCATATCTTGGTCGCCATATAATTGATCTGATACAGCTCTAAATAGACATGCACCGTCATCTTTCATTTGTTTTAAAATCAGATCACATTTTTTCAGCTCTTTTTCAAAGATACGATCTTGCTGAAATTAATATAATATATGTTGTAAAGTATTAATTATTCAAAACTTAACACAAAATATTTTTCAAACACATTTACACAGAAACCTTCATAAAATTTTCATTATTAAGTATGACTAAACTAAATGTTATTTCACAATTTATGCCTAAGTATTATAAATGATAGCAGATAACTCTGTATAATAAATTTATTTGGTATTCGATAGAAAATATTTTATGTGTAAATCAAAAATATAAATATAAAATGTATTTAAGTATTCATAATCCATATATAATATAAAAACATTGTAACTACATACAGAACATATTAAGTACTTGAAAATAAGTTTTATTTATTTTTATATTAGATATTAAAATCAATCTATAATTACCTCAGCCCATTCCATGTCATTAAATTGCTTTGGAATTTCGCCGTATTCATCCTCACTATTATATCCACATTTTTCTGAACTGCAGTGACCATTCAAGTCGGTGGCTCCACACTGACAAGTACCAGGACTTTGAGATGATCTATTGTCTCTATCACGACCTTTACTACTTCTTGTATTTCTTAAAATTATTAACCACTCATTAGAAAAGGCATAAGAAAGAATGTATTGTGGATACATATTATAATCAGATACAATAATATCGACTTAAAAGCATGATTATAATGGACAACATATACAAAACAAATATTTGACCCAGCGTAGGATTTTCTTGGTTATTTAAAAATGTACTACTGAAGTAGTGGATAATTACTAAAGTACTTTAAGTACCTGTGAGGACTACGGTGAATCCTGCGTTTTCCTTGTTTTGAACATAAAACATTATCAATATTTTCTACAGACCATCTTTGTGGAGACTTGATTCGATCATCTAATGTGTTTATCTGAAATATTAATGATAGTTAATTAATATTACATTAATTTACAATCCATTTATAATTTTATAGATAGATTAAGAACAAAGGAGGCGTGTTGCAATTTAGTAGAAGTGTTGAGCGGACTGCCCAATATTGTTCAAAATATTACTAGTGCAATAATCGATAGTGGTTTCTAAAAAATAATTTATGCCTTTGTTTGTTGAATATATTTAATTGTATACTTAAATTATTTACTACTGTCCGAAGTGACCACCTAATTTCAACACACCTTCATTCTTTCAAACCAAATGGCCTTCGATATTTATAACTAATCTCTAGCATAGTTCTATCCAGTTAAGTAGTATTTTGATTTAGTAATAATATAATATAATATTTTATTATTAAACTCTGTTCTTGAGGGTAGTCTATTGAAGATCACAAGAGTAGCAGAGTACAAGTTAAAACCGTTTAATTATTATGATTAATCTATAAGGTAAGTTATTACTACACCTATAGTAAATAAAACTAATAATTTTATTTAAAAAATTAGAGATGACTAACTACTTTGCGATTCAAAACTCCATTACTGACTATGACAATAATATAGGTACACTCACACTTTAAGTTTCTGTGTTCTGTTAACCTAAGAAAATTTGTTGAGTGAGGCTTAATCGATAATGCTGAGGATATTGCGGTATGTTATTAATCTTTAATTTGTTACAGAACATACATATTTATTAATATTTAACTTTTGGTACACAAGATCCTGCTATTATATATATTATGCATGAATAATTTTAAACATATGAATACAATTAATACTTAACCTGATTCTAAAGTTCTATCAATTGATAAAATAAACATATAAATGATCTTTATATCAGAGTTCTCGAAATAAAATTACAGTTACTTAAGACTCATTAGTCCAGGGCTCGTAAGTTCATGCACTAAAAAATGCATAAATAAGGATGCATTCATGCACTAAAAATTGGAAAAAATGCATTAAAAAATGCACTATTATAAAAATTCATGAGCAAATTTTAAAACAATAAGAATATATCCTTTCATTTTTAAAATATTTTATTCCTTTTAATTTTTATACATTTAACAATCAAAATTAATAAAATGAATACTTGTGAAGTTCATATAATCATATGGCTTTGTCATCGTTATCAATTTTAATTAGATAGTCATTTTCTGTCTAATTTGTGTACACCATTATCCAGCACCTACAATGAAAACATTTAGAATGAAATATTATGTATTTGACATTTTCACGACTCGTACAATTAAACAACTCATCGGCGACTGGCGAGTGCAAGAAAAATATGCCGTACCAATGCACAAAATTATAGATGCGGGTTAGTAAGAGACATTACACACGTGTACATGCCTGTACAGGTATCGTTTTGACGACAGGCTTTGTATGGCGGAAGATGGTAGTGATAACATTGTTTCGGCTATACTAAGTAAAACACATAAAATCTAAATAGATAAGTACTACAATACTATGTAGTCACACTAGAATAAAAATAAATCGGAACACTATCATTCAGTAAGCTTTTTTTATGAAATAATATGCGAAATAAACTCTAAGAAAACGATCATATGCCAAATATGCCTTTACACCCAAAACATGCAAAAACATGCACTTTTAAACTTTATATTACTATTACTTTTGTCATGAAACGGATCTGTATCTCAGTTAGCATGTTTTCCTGTGTAGCAAAAAAAACATGCAGATGCATGAACTTACGAGTCCTGCTTATTACTATATCTAGTCAATAAAACTGTTAATTTTCAACTACCTATTAATGGCTATTATTGTAAGCCTTAATAAATTCATAACTTTGTTGCAGCTTAAAATAAATGTATTTCTACCTAGTATTTTTTTATATTATACAATGCCATGTGAATAAGCTAATAAAGACATATTTTAAGTTACAATATGATATGAAATAAAAAAATAAAATAAAGAATTGTCATGCAAAAATCTAGTGATACGTAAATACTTTACTCAATTATTTCTATAAGTAATTAATTAAGCAAATGTTAACTAATAATAACTATTATATGAATAAGGTATATTATGTAGGTATAATCAGAGCTAAATAAATACAAATATAGATAGGTAAGTACCTGACCAAGTAAAGAATTTTAAGTACTTCTAACAGTAGGAGAAAATAAATACATATAACTGAATTAGATTCAGTCAAATTAAAATAAGTACCTATTAAATTAGCTGTGTATAATAAAATGCATGCAGTTCATTTTTCTTAATTATTGATTATGATTTCAGTAGCCATATTAATTGTACATTTAAAAAATAGTCCAAAATATTTTTAACATAATTTTGTCAAAGATAGTATACAAATCTTTACAAAAACACAAATAAGTTATTAACTTTTGAATTTCAAAATCAAATAGATATGTAATTTGTTACAAGAATATAATATATGTGCCAACCAAATCCAACCATAACCTTCAGGTTCTAAATTTATTTTTACAAAACATGAAATGAAACAAAATCTGAACTAAATTGTAAGCAACTAAATTTGAGTTTCACAATGTTTTTAATATTAAAGTACAGTGCAAAATTTGTCGAACATACCTATTTATTTTTTTTAAATTTGTTTATATAATATGATGTAACTTTCTTAAATCTCACTACCTATGACAAATATAACTAGTGGACCTAAATTAAAATATAAATTCAATAGGAATGGTAATATTAAGCAAACCACTTTATTTTAATATAAAGCAGAGAAATGAATATAATAAGTCAGCAGATTATTTTTTACTTGAGAATGAGCTTGAGCCGTTGAAAGAGGTAAGGCATGCCCGTGTGCACTCGACGAGGGTTCACATTCTTCCGAAAGGGCCTGAGCCTTTTTTTTCGATAAAACAGTCATGTTAAAACAACTATATATGTACAACAGTAAATAAAATAATGAAACAATAACACCTGATCAGTTGAGTGAAAAAAAATTAACGATATCAAATACTAAAGTCGTGATGATCGCGACTCGGAGTGTCGGAGTGTCGATATTGGATAACACGTAAATACGCAACTCGAAACAATAAAATATGTAAATCTAAAACGATTACAATATTATTTTAAAACTATTACGATGACTACCGACTGTTGAACGACACAAGAATAATGTAAAACGTAGGTGGTACCCATACAGCCATGTAGTATGTATATAGTATATATTGTAGTGAATACATTAAAATAATATTTTTTTATTACCCATTTGTGTTCGATGAGAACTGATAGTCGCAGTTTATAAAAAGGATTGTGTGAGGACTGATAAGGGAGACGGTGACATGATAACGAACCATTTCTATGGACCACGATGTAGCAGGCTGGTATTACCTACATTGTGCTATGGACGAATGATCAGTAGTTGACCGCGGGCGAGTAGGGACGTGGTATTGAAAGAAAAGTATCGATACTTTTACTTGGTATCGAATCGAATCAAAATACTGATATGAGTAAAGTATCGAAACAAAAGTATCGATGTGAGTAGGTATCGAAAACCCGGGGCTAGTAATCCGTGTTCATTGTTCATTGTTCGTTCCACGGTCTTAGGTTAGGTTCGAAAAATCGTAACTACACATTGAGTAATAGACGGATACGGCGCGGGCTCTTGTGCATGTAAAGCCGCGTACACGCTTGTAACATTTGCGCTTAACGTTACCTAACGTGCCCTTCGCACTTACTTGTCTGGTTGTCTGTGCACAGCACCATCGATCACGGTGATTCGTGCCGTACTTTTAACGTTTCCCCTGATTTTTGTCGTTTCCGATATAAACCCGCCTGTACGTATTATATAAACGTGGTAACTGGTTGCAGTTCACCGACCGGTCACTGACTACTTTCATCCCGTCGTCACTCAGTCGTTGCTCTCTCAAAGTTCGAATTTCGTTACCCTGTGCTGATACGTCCTTTACCTAACTCGAAGATGGAGTTTAAATGGATGTTGCTGTGCTTGTCCCTACTAGCCGTGTCCATAGGTATTGTAGTTGTACCTATTAGTACCGACGACTGTTGTTTGGCTCGTTTTTCAAAAACCTGACCTAATTACTACGTGTGTTGTTATAGGTGTCGTGAAGGCTGAAGACGAAATCGACGCAGACGAAGAGATGATTGTTAGCGAGGACCAAGGATTAGTCGAGACAGAGGGTGATGAGTCTACAATCGAAGACTTAGAGCCGACAGATGCTGACACGTATTTGCTGTTCACCAAACCAGTGTTCGAGGAAAAAGCCAGCATTGGTAAATTACTCTTAAAGCTAAACAGTTTCGTATAGTTCTGTAAATAGATTTTAAGTTTCTTGGTTTACAGCATCGTCATCAGAATATTAGATAGTAGTATTCATTAAAATACAAATATTGACGTATTGTGTAAGTCATAATTTTACACTAGTGTAATAATTTAATCTGTATCAACTTTCAATTCTTACTAATGTATAAAAACTATAAAAAATATAGTTGAGTTGTGCACATGTTATGAGTTGTAATATCAATAGGTACCTATTGATTATTATTGATAACTAGGGCTAGGGACTTAATAAAATATGCATTAAAAAAAATTTAATTCTTTTACAAAATTGTCAAGCCAATCAAAAGGTTTTGGTTTAGGTCAAGGCATTTTTTAATTATTTTATTATGGGCTCACTCGAAAGAAAAAATACAAAAAACGCACAACACCAACTGTAAACTTTTACTATTCACGAGGCGGTCTGGTCTCTATCTACAACTAGTCATAGTCTATAAAATGTTTTTTTGGTATCATTATCCGCTTATCGCCTATCGGGAATTACGAGTGTAACAATAAGTAACAATACAATTATAGTGATAGGCAAGAAAAATGCAAACATTAATTTTTAAATATTTATATCCGGTACAGAAAATTTATTTAAAATTAACTTTTTTTTATAAATTTATAAAACTTACTCCTTGTATGTTGTCAAATATGCACTAATAAAATTAAAAATGGTCAAATACGCACTTATAAATAAAATATGGTCAAATATGCAAAATATGCAACTATAAATTTTAAATATAAAATTGTATTGGTATGAAACAAATTTCTATATTACTTAGCTATGTTTTGAATGATTATTTAAAAATATGCAAACTCCTAGAAGTCCCGAGCCCTATTGATAACACTTAACATTATTGAATACTATATATTTGAGTGTAAATGTTGTACCAATTAAATGTTAATTAGACAACAATTTTAACATTTTAAGTATTATTTTGTAAATAGTATGAAAAAACATGATTGTATGCAATTTTGTTCAGGTAGTTATCTGTAAAGACACATTGTAAATAATCAAACAAAGTGAATGTAAACAATTGTCATATAAAATACAAAATCATAAAAAATTAACCATAAATATGATTGATAATACTACATTAAATCGTATATTTTCTTTTTATTTATTTGTACCTATTTTTTAATTGTATCATTACTAATGTGTTTAATTTTTTCATTAGAATTACCAGCTGGTCGCTTGTCTGAATTTCTTGTGGGATTTACCAATAAAGGATCTAATGATTTAGTTTTGGAAACTTTGGATGCTTCACTTCGCTACCCCATGGATTTCAATTTCCACATTCAAAATTTCACCACCGTCTTGTTAGAGAAAACCATTCCACCAGGATCCCAGGCTACTCTTGGCTATGCCTTTATCCCAGCTGATGCATTTGCTGGACGTCCATTTGGACTTAGCATCAATCTTGCTTATAGAGACTATGTAAGGTTTTTATTTTTACTATTTATTTTATAATTAATGATTCATAATCTTTTATTTATTTAGGAAGGAAAACAAATGATTAGTAAATTATACAACGATACTGTTAACATCATTGAAGTTGAAGAAGGTTTGGATGGTGAAACTCTGTTTTTGTATGTCTTAATGGCTGCTGCGTGTGTTCTTCTTTTGGTCGGTGGACAACATTTTCTATACTCAGTTGGCAATAAACGCGTTGGTGGTGGTGGTCTGCCAAGTCGCACTAGAGCAAATTTGGAAACTGGAACAAAAACTAGCAAACAAATTGATATGGACTGGGTTCCTAAGAATGTTCTCAATCACCTAAGTAAGTTTGGTTTTTAATGATAAAATTAAAAATTGGTCATTTAAAAAAATGTTGAATTTTGGAAGTTAGTGTTATTGAGGTTATGAATATTGTAGAAATTTCTACTAAATAAATATTAATATTCAAATGATTTTTTTGTTACATTATAGATAAACAAAAGGCACAAAGTCCGAAGCAAAAACGCGTGAAGAAAATAGATTAATTGAGCAGAGACTTAAACTCATTCATTTTTTTCCCAATGAATGTTATTAACTATCAAATTCCTCCCTTAGAAGAAAATTAAATTCTAAAAATTGCTGTTGTAATTCCATCCGATAACATTTTGAGAAATAAGAGTGCATTTCTAATGTATTCTATTTTTGTTACATAAATAGTTATTATTAAATGTATAATTTTGTTTTATAACAACAACTAAACAAAATAATATGTGTATGTTTAATATCTAATTATGTTTTTGTATAGATCATTTTTTTAAATAACTTTTTTATCATACAGATACATTAATAATTTTGTGTTTGTAGTTTATTAATTTTTGTGAATACTATAATTAAATTTTATAAATTATTCATACTTGTATTATATACTTATTCTGAAAATAAATGTGTTTGGACAAAATCAAATTATACTTGTCTTATAGGCCCGTTTCACCAGCACTGCCACTTTCTAATCTTAAAATCTAACCTTGACAGTATTTTGTACTTCTTTTGAACAACCAAATTAAAATTCCCCCTCCCCCTTCCTCACTGGCCACCATACCGTATTTTTCGTTATCGGCCGACTGCTATTGTTATTATGTGAATATCGATATACAAATTTACACGTATAAATTTATTTTTACAGATTTCAACTCTTTAAAATCATAATTTTGAAAAATTCTTTCTCAGTAGAACTTGAGATTATAATAATTATCTATCCTCAAATTTTCAATTTAATAACTTAAATAGGTTCGGCCCTGCGTCGATTATTGCTAAAGTACAATTTTCATTATTTATAGAGATTATGTACTTTATTTTGTACACCCCCCAAACACGAGAAAACCCAATTTTCCTGGAGAAATCTCGTTAGGTTAGTTTTTTTGGGGAAGAGGGGATTACAACATTTTTTTGGCTGTGCAAAATAAAGTACATGATACTGTATAAGTTAAATTTCAATTTTATAATAATTGGTTAATGACCTGAGCTACCGCTACGTACAGGTCTAAGAGTGACAAGTGGTAATTACAAAGCATTTACATATAGATCACTGGGAAACACGTAAGACCGGCGACAACAAAAAAACATAAATGTTAAAGTTTTAAACTTGTAAAAAAGGCCTACAAAGGCATCCTACATTCCCCATTTCCCCCTTGTTTCAGATTATAGGTATAGGTATAGGTTATTCTGGTTTATAATTCGGATGATGCTTTATGACAAGTAAGCCATAAGGCGGTAGACGTTGAGGCACAAGTCCCCCAATAATTTTAAAAGCTCCTAAGTGGCCTCATGTTACCTATATTTTATGATTTTAAAATCAAACTTTGTTATTACTAATTATCATTAAATGTATTTAGCCACATTATTCAAGCGTTAACAACTGTTAAGTGAGCATTTCCCAATTATTGAGTAAAAATGTAAAATGGGCTTGCAGGTAACTGCATTTCCTAATTTCAACTTAGACACTTCATTATTATTACTAAGTAATTTGACATTGCTTCCAATATTCAACAACTTTAGTTGAACCTAGTTTTCCTGACTGAAATTAATAAAAACTAACATACCTATGACCTATCCGTTAGAGTTTGATTATGATTAATCAAATAGTCAAAATATATACCTACTTAGTAATATACGCTGACGCCTGACAGAGGGCAGACCGTCTCCTGTCAGCATCGTTAGGTAGTCGTTTTTATATGAGTCAACACTTTCAATGGAATTCAAATTAAAGTATTTAACACATCTATTAAAGCCTATAGGTAGTCATATAAACTTATTCAATGATGAGTTAAACTCATAAGTCATCAACTACTGTTCAGAATTATCGAAGAGTTTAGAGAAATAGCCTAATGTATAAGACTTAGATACTTGCCCACTTTTTTATATAGGTACATTTATTGTATATTATATTAGTTACCAGTTACTAATACCAACCAAAGAATATAATACCTACCTATCGGCCATAGGCTATAAAACTATATAATGATCATGATCATTGATGGGTAAGAATGTAAGATACTCAAAAATCAGAATCGCGATACCTACTAGTGACTAGATACTTGGATTTGGAGTACCTATCGAGATAGGTACTAGATACACGATACTTACATTTTAAGTATTTAGATAGGTACTCGATACATTTGAAAAAATTAGTCATAACACTCATAACTCATAGTCTACGACGTATAGGATTTGTTTTAAATTTTATTTATACACAATTAGGTAGGTTGTGAATCTAGATAAAAGCATTTAACTTTAAATTTCCAAATATTAGTTACGTATTAATATATTTTAATGGGTCAATCGTTAAATTAAATAAATAATTAGTAATAAAAATAAATTACAGATATCATTATAGTAATCTAAATCTATTTAAAAACTATTAATAAATAACAACTGTTTTGGAGATTAAATTCTAAGGTAAAAGTTTTAGTTTTCACACAATACAAAAAATAAATTGGGTAGGCTTGGAAAATATACCTACTATAACCAAAATATATTTATTTGTTTGCATGTATCTGAAAACAATTTTAAGTTTGCTGGACCTGTTGACATTCGGGGGTCCATAAAAAAAAATACTGTGTTTACATGACGTGACATACCCATCGATGATTATTTATACATTATACCCTACCCTTAAGTATTTATCGCGGACGCCATTTGAGGGGCCAGAATGTACTGTATGAATACGCACAAATATATAAACTTTTGAGTTTTTAATTTTTTTTTTTTTTTTGGGGGGGGGGGGGTTGCTTAAGCACTAAAGTCCCCCCTATTTGTACCTATGATTATATGTCACCCCTATTTTTTGTGCGTCTCATTGGCCTGAAATATAATTTACTAACAGGTCGATGCATAAAATATAAAATGTATTAAATAAAAAGAAAAGCTCATAGCATAATACATATGGACTATGGTCTATGGAGGTAATGTTTATTTATTATTTTGCATGACAAAAGCTATTTCCTCCTTCCAGCTTTCCAATTTTATGAATTCATTAAAAATATATAACCCTTCAACCACAAACATTCATGAAATATATTTATTTTCTATTAAGTATGATAAAAAAAAATAGACCAGCTAAAATTTGAGCACCCCTATTAAAAAACGTATAGGCGTCACTGGTATTTAGATGTAAATAAAGTATAGATAAGCCCCTACTTAGTACTTAGTTTATTATTATTAAAATCTTATAGTTTTTTTATTTAACAACGCCATAATTTAGCACAATCATTAAACTTTATAGAATGAATAACTATAATAAGTTACAGGGTGGGTAATAAATGTACAGACTGTTCATTATACGAGTACGCAATGCGAACAACAATCAAAACATAAGGTGGGTGTGTTTTTTTTTATGTAATGAAAATTAAAAATGAACGGTCATTTAAAATTACCATTTGACAGTGGTAATATTATAGTAGGAAGGTAGGTAGATTATTGGAAAAAAAAGTAATAATAGGTATTAGTACCTAAGTATGTAGCTCAAACATGCACTAAAATATCGACGTTCCTGAATTTATAACGATTTATTTAAATAATAATGATAAATACATTTTAGAAATAACGAAGGAAAAAACAAGAAAGCGCTGAAAGCTGAGAAAAAAATTAAACAGTTGCAGGATGGCGAGATAGGTATAATATTGCCACTGACCGCGACCGTGATGGGCAGGAGGAGCCACGGTACGGTGACCGCGCAAAACTGACCGCGTCGGAGGTTCCAAGATGGAAGCCAAACGCTCCCTCCGTGTCTAACAAAATCGAAATTTGTTTGATACAATTGATAATAACATAAATTCTTAACAATATATCAGTCGCACACAACATAATGGCCTGGAAAATGTATTGTTTTTGTGTTTGATTTGCCGTTCGTCACACGGAACGCCGTCCGCCCGCCCGCCCGCCCGCCCGCTATACAACGTCCGCCGCCGCCGCATCAAAACCGCTTTTCCGCTGCCGCCGACGACGGACGGACAACGACGATTTTCGGTGAACGCAGTAGTAACGCACGGCCGTCGCTACATAGGGCAGTTGGCCGAACGCGCGGGGTGCTTGTTGTGGCGGCGATACCGAACCGACGCCGACCCGTTCGCCCGCCGCCGATTTTGCACGTTGGCGACGCAGCCCACTCATCTGGTTCGCACTTGGACGTCGCTGGACACGAGCGACATCGTTATGACCGCCGACCCCGCCACCCCGTATTCAGGTAAGCACACGAACGCCAAAGTACACCTGTGTGGATTCGCACATTGTGTCGAGTGCGTCATAATATGCGTGTCACTCGGCTATACTACAGTGTGTAAATTGACATATTGTTATCATTATTGTTGCTAAAACAACAACCACCGAGCGGTGGCTCGACCGTCGCTCGTCTGACGACACACGACCAACTTGTAACGGGGCAAGTTGCTTGATCGGGCGAATCTTTTTCACTTGTAGATTATGAATTTTATCCTCATCTGCATTTTACCACGTCATGTGTGTCCGAGTGTGTGTGTTGATGTTAATTCTTGTTGTATCTCGGTGGTCGATGAATGGGCCCAATGAGAAGTATTGTAGGAACTATCATCCATAGCTATGATCTACTTTAGTTACTTGTTAGTGCATAGCTCCTATCAAAACACCTAAGCATTTATTATTCATTAGTAACTAGTAAGTCATATAGGTAACTGCTTATGTGTAATTTGAGCAGCATTGCATTCAGGGTCAACAACTCAAAGGAGTAAAAATTATTTTTGTTTTTTATAGTTGTGACTTTAAAAATGTACACTTTTTAAACGTACCTAGTGACTTTGCCATTGTTATTTTAACTCTTAAGTCTTTAACAGAGTATCTTTATTAGTTTGATAAAATATGTACCCGAGGATATATCTACTTAATATAACAACAAACCATTATTAGTAGAATAATAGCTTGGTATATTTTTTGTTACTTACCTATTTTTAATTTTACAACTTTTTAAATATATAAAATATTTTTAAAATACTTCCTAAAATAAATAAAATATGTCAATGTAGAATTTTCATTGGACATTGTTTAAGCTACATCATAAAACTAGGTACCTCAATATTGTACGACTCTGTTACTGAAATAAGATTTTTACTTTTTACCATGAACAATTTTAATTTTATTGGTTACTCATCATTTGCTGTCTTAAGAGATATTTTTAATATCATAATATATATTAGTCAAAGAACCGAAATTAACATTTGAAGAATACTTTATATTGCTTTTTACGGCTTTTTATAAAACACATGTGATGAGGCTGATTTTTTAACATGCACTAGAATCATTACAAACAAGTAATTTTAGGATTATAGATAAATATACCCACTAGTAATCGTATTATTTAAAATATCACCATCAACAGCCATTGAGACGACTCTAATATAACATGATAATTACACAATTTATAAATATTAAAGTTTTAACTTATAAACATTTTTGATTTAACTATAAAATAAATTATAGTTTATACCTACTTTATGATATGAATATATTATGTTTGAACTGTTAATTTAACCTTTTCACGGTTACACGTTTATATGCTCTGCAATTTGTGTATGCTAAATAAAATAAATTCCAATTTTTAATTTTTTTAAATTTAAACTTTGAGATCTACCTATATGATCTAATTATTATGCGGCCAGGGTTTCCTATAAATGATAATATTATAAAATACAATAAATTAATAGTACATCTAGAGTAGTGAATGGTGTGAATGTTTTGGACGTAATAGTAAGCCTGGAGCAGTGAAAAGGTTAAAACTTATTTTATTGATCTATACAAATATTTTCTTTTAGTCGTGGCACATTTAATAAGAACAATATTTACCTCTACAGCTGTATCAGTATTCATAGTTTTTATAATTAATCAGAAGAAAAATAAAAAATAATTTGATAGTACAAATTTTGAATAGCTAGTTATCAGTGTTGGGTAGTAACATAATGAAAGTAATGTATTACAGTAACAGCATTACTTTATTTTGAATTATTTAGTAGGTACCTATGGTGAAATAACAAATAAAAAACTTAAAAATATGTTTATGATGCAAGTATTAAGTATACCTTGAAGTATACCAATCCAATATATTAAATATATATTATGTTTACATTGAACTCATCACAATTCAGTTTTCAATGGTTTAGACATGCCGTAAATTACTAGAACAATTAAATTAAATTTATTATTTAATTAGATTGCTTTAAATAGGTATACTGAACATTTCCTATGAATATGGGATCATATTGAATATAAGCCGTAGACTGTTATTATTAAGTATTTATACATTCTTATTAACTATTATTAATTATAAACTACCGGAGCCATACCTAAATACTATTAACACTTAGTTAGTACTCTAGTAGTGATATAAATGCAGTAAATACTTTTTATTTTTATTTATCATCTATTATTATTATTTTTAATACCATTAAGAATTTAGAACCGACAAAACCTGTTCAATTTTAAAATACTTATTATTCATTACTATATTTAAAATTTACATTAGAATATAACACTTTTCTGGTAGGCACTTAATACTTACTGTTAAATGATAAATAAAATTGAAATATTTATATTGCAGCTTTATAAATTATTATAACCTTTTATTTTGTTATACACCAGGTTGTATATCTTTTTTAAATTATACCTTTTTAGTTTTTAGTATAGGTAATGTATTTCTTGTAACATTATTGCTGGTACTATTTTATTTGAGTAACGAGTATAGTAGCTTTATTATATTTATCTTTAAGCAACTAGTACAGTAACTTAATTACTTTTGAAAAGTAATTTACCAACACTGGTATCTATCAATATTAATATTTTATTAGATAACAAAAAAATATATTATTATTCACATTATTTTCACTATACAAATATCAATAATATAAAAGTACATAATATTTAAAAAAAAAAGTCATGCGGAAGATGTACCTCCTCAATTGACTACCCTTGCACTATATCTAGGTATAACATATGTACCTATCTATGTATGATATAATTACTTGTTGTGTTACTTATTATACTTATTGATGATTGAATAATGTCCAAAGTAAGGTAGTTATTATAGTTTATATATGTTTTAAATTGTTACCTTTAACATGCCTCAATGATGTCTTTTTTGTTAACTATAACCATGTACCTACCATACATAATAAATAATTTTTTTTATAATATACCCTAGCACAGATCTCAAAGTGAAGTAATTCCTCTCTTAATTTGTTAAGGCTGGTCACACTATGTATGTGTTATCTTATATATAGGTATTCTATACACAGGCTGATTTTTCAAGTGTGCTCACCCCAATTTTTCCATTTAATAAGTAGTAACTACATTTATACTAATTCTAATTTTTAGAAATTTTAAGTATATCTAAAGACTGTATTTTTTCAAATATTTGATATTTTTTGTACTATTTGAGTGTCTTGTGGCAATGCAAACTACTATTTTTCGAATGAGAACCTCCTTATTTACATCAAATTATTTAGTGGATGATTGAACATTTTGATACATCTAAATCAAAATTCTAATGAGTAGTTTCTGAGTTATTAGAATGTTCATACTAAAAATTATAATCCTTATAAATGGTTTTATATAATATAAACTATACATATGTATTATTAGATGCAGTAGGTATTTATTAAACTTGGACCATTTTTATTAAAATATTTATTACATTAATAGATCAATAGTAATTAGTAATTACTAACATTTCCAAATCATCTAATCATCCATATCTTTTTAATCATTAGTCATTACCATAGACAAACTATTATCATTAGTACACAAAGTTATAAAACTTAAAAACTACTCCCTCAAATGTTGATCTATATATTTCAAAATTCACTAAAAAAACAGAAGTTTGTATGGCCACAGTACCATAAAGTGCTACAAAAAATCTCAAGTATTCTAAAATATGGTCTTATAATGTATTTAAAAATTACAAAAATCAGACTTTAATAATAACAATAATAATAATTTATTCAACTCAACTTAGGTAAGGTACATAAATACAAATTCATTTAAATTATTACATGAACTGAGCTGATTATCCCGAGTTTGCGATGAGAGGGGAGAACTTCAGGTATTAGTTGTACAAGTACTTAATAAATTATCAACACATTTTTAAAAATTTATGAAAGTGAAAATAGTTCAGTACAAAAATAAATAAAAACAGAAAAGTACTTAAGTAATGATTAACATGAACATAAAGTATCATTGATTGATATTAATAATTATTTCTCTTCAGCATGTATGTTTTTGTACATTTTTAAACAACATCTTATAATTTATTAACTTAATATATTTTGGTTATTTATTCAACATTGCTCTGTATTGATAATAGTTTTGACAAGACGTAGAATTACATTTAGGAACCCTAAGAAACCTTCTTAATTTAGAAATACTTAAGCACTCATTAACTTGGGTCCTGGATACTCAAACAGAAATTAGTTGGATTAACGGAGAGTACTTAAAGAGTTGTTTTATATTAAATAGGTATTCCTAGTATGTCAAAAAGCTGTGAGGTATTCTTCTGTCATATTTAAAAATTGGTGCATGCATAGGTAATTTAAGCATAAATTATAGAGTTAGCAATTACTGAGTATGCTTTAAAAATCACCCTTTATACATATAATATAGGAACGTTCCTCAAAATTATTTAAGTTGATACACAACATTTCTCACTCGATATATATTTTCGAGAAATTTAGTTTACATTTAATATAATACTTAGTTACTGTTATGATGTAGTGTAGATATTTCATAATTTAAATGTAATTCAAGATGTACTTAAATCATATTATCATATGTATATCAGTAATTTTAGCGTATTATTAAATTATTGTCTGAATTTCAATGCTCTAAAAAACTATAAAACTGCTTTTTAAAATAGCTAAATAATACTCCTAAAAATATCTCTTGACCACAATAATTCCATTTCTCCTTAAAATGAGACACTGAATTTCTCAATTACTTAAAGATTTTTTTTCAAAAGAACACGTGATGAGAATTAATTGGCCAGATAGGCGTACAAATTTAGCAATTTTAACTTCAGCTCATGAAAATCTCTATGTTGCAGATGTCATTATAATCATAAAAAGGTAGTTTTACATTAAAAATGCTCTAAAAATGGCTACCGTGCAGACATATAGTTGCCTTTAAAAATGTAATAATTATAAAAAAAATACTGACGTTTAAATATAAATATGAATTTTTTTTATAAATACATTACAAATAATTTTTTTAGTTGTAGGTAGATAGTAGTTACCTATATTAATTAATTATTATTTATAAAATATAGGTGCATTATAGAAATGGTTTTTAACAAATTGGCTTTTACTTTAATAATATGTGCATATTTATAATTTTTTTTTTCTTAAATAGGTACCTAAAAAAAATAACAATTTTTTTAGTTACCTAATTCTTCTAAAATTATGTAAATTATTTTTAAACTTGTTAAAATTATGCATAAAAATCATATACGTATAATAAATGTCAGCAATTTAACAAAAGTAATAAACTAAGATACCTAGGTAAATAATAAATATGGATATTATTTATTTTGAGCAATAACATAATATTTTATAGGGTCTTAAATTATAGACCGACACATTTTGACATCTAACGTGCCAACGCTACCCACTACCCAGAAATAAACTCAGAATACCATTGAAAAAAAAGCTTTGAACCAGTTGTCTCAAACATGTCAAGAATAGAAACTTATTTCTTCTAACATATTGAAAATAAAAATAAATAATTACTAAACAAAAAATCAATATGTACACCATTGTAATATCTGTACTCATTATTATTAAATACAGTTATATTATAATAATTATCTATGATCAATAGAGGGAATAAAATATGTTGTCTTCATATTTTGTTTTTATTTTAAATTTAGAATTAATATGACCTAAAAAATTGTGTTTCGCCCTTAAACCTTTGACATATAAATATATGGCCCTTTGGTAATTTGAGTTTGAGACCACTGGTCTAAACATAGGTATAAATAATTAAATTTAGGTTTACAAAAGGTGGTAGACTGCAGTCTTGATACATTGGCTGTTGGTAGATTAAATACTATTTGAAAGCATGATATCCTTTAAAATTGATAAAATTGTACATAGCAATAATTGTTATCATCTCGGTTATTACTTGTCTTATATTATATATATATTTGACGTATAAATATAAAAAACAATAAAAACAAATTAAAATTAAAATAAATTAAAATAGGTGCATTAAAAAAGTACTTCAATACAAATGGCTTTAATTATTAAACTATTTCTACTGTAAATTCAATAATGGTCTTATAATTGTCATGATAATTTAGGGCACTAAATTATAGTAACTTCTAGTTAAAGAAATCTTTTAGGATATATTCAAATGATTATGATTATTTTCATATGCTAGTTTGTGTTAAAATGTATTAAAATTTTGAATTCATGTCTTTAGACAATATTCTACATTACACTCTAATGTAGACAGTGGCAGTTATCCTCAAAATGTGTTCCTAAGTAAGGAAAATTCTGATAACCCACCTACTTAAAAATTATGGGTGTATTCAGTTGAAAATTTAAAAATCATCCCCATGTTATCTACTAAGTAGTAAAAAATACATCACCAATATTTTATTAAAGGGTGGGTCACATATATTTCCAATATTTTTTATTAATTTTAGATGATAATTTGTCTAATAATTTTGAAATAAATTGTCTGGTATTTAATAGTAGAAAAAATGTAATTTATAAATAATTTTTATTATCTAATGGAAATATTTTTTTATTTGTTTCAGAATGTATAGATACAAACCATATGGATCGTCTGCAAATAGATAAATGAATGCTCTCAATTTAGGACCATGTTTACAAACATAACATTTATATTGTTGATTTCATGAAAATGCCGATATCATTTAAATGGATTGGAAATTTATTACTGTGGGTAAGTAACAAATAAATTGTTTGAATACAGCTTTGGTATTGTAAGTACCTATATTTACTAATAAATGTATTGTAATTGTGTTATCTTAGGAAAATTGGTGATGCCGAGTTCCAAACTATGTTTTGTGTTGGTGTTATTGCTAATAACTACAACATTAAAATGCAGTTCAGCAATGTCAGTTATAGCTAAATACCCACAGAATACACAGTCAGAATGTTTTTCAAACCATCTACTTCACATGGCTGTAGACAAGAGTTTAGGGGGTCGAGTTTACATTGGTGCAGTAAACAAATTAATACAACTAGAAGGGTCTAATTTAACTGTGGAAACATGTGCCAATACTGGTCCACTCTCAGATAGTCCGCAATGTCCAGCAAGTGGTTGTCCAGTATCTCCACCCGTTGAAACATCACTTACTGACAACTATAACAAAATTCTAATCATCGACTTAGAATCTCGAATGTTAATAGTATGTGGTTCTATTTTTCAAGGTGCTTGTAACAAGTATAAAATGTCAAATGTGTCATTACCAGCACAATTTATTCCTATGAGTATAGCTGCCAATACAGAACAAGCTTCAACATATGCTTTCATTGGACCAGAACATTATAATAATTGGGGTTATTCAAATGTATTGTATGTTGGAACGACTTTTACTAACAATGGAGATTATAGACATGCTGTACCAGCAATTTCAAGTCGTAGCCTGTATAATTTAAATTTAGCAGAAACTTCATTTTTAAAACAATCTTCACTTAACATCAATGTAAATTATCGTGATCGTTTCCTTGTTAAATACATATATGGATTCAACTCGAGTGATTATGCATATTTTGTTGTTGTTCAAAAACATTCACCTTTGCCGGGACAGGAAGAATTAGGATATGTTACCAGATTAGCCCGAGTTTGTATAGATGATGCCAATTATGATAGTTATACTGAAGTTACATTACAATGTATGGTAAAAGAGACGTCAAACTCCGATGATTTGGTGAATTATAAACTTGCTCAAGACCTAAAGCTAAGTAATGCTGGCGAAGACTTAGCAGCTAGTCTTGGTATTGATACTGATGACCAAGTTTTAGTCGGATCTTTTTCACCAAGTCAAGGCATTACTAATGAACCAACTCCAAAATCAGCTATTTGTGCATTTAGTATGCAATACATTGAATCTAAGTTTAATGAAAACATTCATATGTGTTTTAATGGTACAATCAAATATCGTAATATGCCATATGTTTCTGGACTAATATTGCAAGGAAATTGTCCTACTGCAGGAGTGAGTACTCTATATAAAAATGAATTCAACTTTATATTCAATATATTATGTTCCTTATTTTTTTTTTTTTTTTTAGTCTACTGGAAATATTTTAAACTTTTGTGAAATTGGTTTAAAAATATCGGGAACAGAACCAATAACTACACAAGCTGCAATCAATTTTCCTGATCACCTTATTACCTCAATAACACTAGCAACAACCGAAAGAAATACCATTATTTTTTTGGGAACTTCAACTGGAATTCTAAAAAAGGTAGAGTCAAATTATTTTTATTTAAAAATTAATTATAAAAGTTAGGTATATACAAATTAATTTTTTTCTTATTATTTATGACTAAAAGGTGTTATTATCATCTGCAACTCATGCTGTAAATTATGAAGAATTGATCTTGGACAATGGAAATGCCATATTACCAGATACATCACTTACTACTAATGGAGAACATTTATATGTGTTAACACGGAGCAATGTAAGTTTTAATTAAAAAATGTTAACAAGTTAAACAGAAGTATAATTCTTATTGTTGTTTTTAAGGTATTGAAAGTAAGAGTAGAGCATTGTTACAGTTTTACTAATTGTTCTTCATGTTTGGAAGCAAATGATCCTTACTGTGGTTGGTGTTCACTTGAAAGAAGGTATAGTTATGGTTTTTTTTTAAAAAAAAGTTTTATTATTCAAATTTGTGGTTTGAGAACATAACGTTGTTCAAGAAAATTGTATAAATAATGTCCGTAATATGATGAAAAATGTATAGTTTAATACATAAAAGAAAACATAATGTTCATTATTAAAATACTATTTAAAAAACCTAAAAAATTGTTTGTACAATACAATTTATTATCTTGAACATGTTTTTATGCGTATTTTTTTATGTATGTATATTGTATTATATCTATTATACTATACAGTATTTACTAATGAAAAATTATGTGTTTTAAAAATTTAAAATTTCTTACACAATCAATTGCAGTCGTTCATTCATTTTACAATTATAATTATAATTTATTATATCTTCGAAAAAAAATTACTTAATTACTTGTATCCATGTATAATATAATAAATATGTATGCATGTACAATAATAGTATTATTAACCCTAAATAATTAAATTAATTATTTATATTTTATGAATTCAACTATTAGGTGTACTGTTAGAAGTACTTGTCAAAAAGCAAGCCACAGTTCACCACGATGGCTATCTCTTGGTACTGGTCAACAATGTATTGATTTCGAACAAATAAACCCTGATCGAATTCCAATTCACCAAATGTCAAAGGTAATTATCTGTTCAAAATTAATAAATTGTAATATATTTAATAACTTTATATTAATATAAAAAATGTGTTATATTTTTATTTATTTTAAATAATAATATAAATATAGTTTAGGACGGAATGTATTGTTTATTTATTTTATTTTATGTATTATTATTATTCCAGTTACAACTTGCAATCAAAACATTACCAGAATTGCCTGCCGGTGCTAAATATCGTTGTGTTTTTGGCAAAAGTGATCCATTAGATGCAGTTGTTACACAATTTGGACTACAGTGCTCAACTCCTTCAATTCAATCACGCCCAAAAATTCCAAAAAACCAAGATCATATATATGTATCTTTGTCAGTGAGGTCTTCTGAAACCAATAAAGACTTTGTAAGCAGAAATTTTGCATACTATGATTGTTCAGCTCATACCAGATGTATGGAGTGTGTTAAATCCCAATGGGCCTGTAATTGGTGTGTCTACGAAAATAAATGTACAAATAATATATCCAGTTGTCAGCGTATTATTATCAGTGGTGAAAATGTAAGTTAAAATCATCAACATTTTATTTTTTTTTACTAATTCCCAACATTGTTTGTCTTAGAACCCAACTCGTCTTAAAAACCACGGTGCAATGTTTTGCCCACGGTTCGTCCAACCAGCTCAAAAAATTTTACTACCTAATGGTGTTCCTAAAGAAATAGTTTTACAAGTAGAAAATTTACCTAACCCTCAAGTTGGACATACAGGTTTTCAATGTATAATTAATATTGAAGGAGCCAAACTAATGGTTCCTGCGAGGGTAGAAGAAAAGTATATCGTCTGTGATAAAACTACTGTAAATTTATATTTTTTTTTATGATAAGAAAATGTATTCTGATTTGATATGAAACTAATCATATGTTTATTTTATGTTATAATTCAGTATTCATATGAAACTAATTCTGGAGAATATGATGCAATGGTCAGTATGGTTTGGAACAGAAACCATCATGTTGATACAATAAATGTGACATTATATAAATGTGACATTCTTGGATCTCATAGAGAACACCCTGACTGTTCATTATGTGTTACACGAAATCGCAAATATCACTGTACTTGGTGCTTAAGTACTTGTGTGTATTCAGAAACCTGCTCAGAAACATCTAGCAATGAATGTCCAAAACCGAGAATAGATATGGTATTAAAAATTGTACAAATTTAATTTTGTTATGTGTAAAAATGTTATATTATTTTTTAGATAAAACCTCTTAGCGGACCAATTGAAGGCGGTACTATGGTCACTATTGAAGGAAGTAATTTAGGTCTAAATAGAGAAGATGTTTGGGGAAAAATCCATATAGGTGGTATTTTGTGTCATTTAGTTGATTATGAAGTATCTGTTAAGATAGTTTGTAAGACTGGACCATCAAATGTTGAAAAGTTTGCTTCTATTGTGGTCGGAAATAATGCTGGTCTGACTGAATCATCTGTACATTTCAATTATAAGGTATAATAGTTGATACATATAATTTATATTAATTAGTTAAATACTTATTGTGTATGTTTTACAGAGTGTTAAGCTTGATAAAGTGACCCCTAGTATGGGACCCCAGAGTGGTGGCACACTTTTAGCCATTAGTGGACATAATTTAAACATTGGAAGCTCGGTGACTGCATTCCTCGATAATTTTCCATGTACTGTCAATACAACTCATGCTTCCAGCACAAGGCTCACTTGCGTGACTTCGGCTGCAAATAGACCCCTGACTGTAAATTCAATGCATTTAATCATTGATGGTTCCAATAGGACATTGGCCAAACCTTTTACCTACCGAAGTGATCCAACCGTTGCTGAAATTAAACCACTAATTAGCTTTTTGTCTGGAGGAAGAATGATAACAGTTCATGGCACAAATTTTGACATTATCCAAAAGCCAGAAATGGTTATTTATGTTGATTCTGACTTCATACATCCCATTAATAAAACTGTGAGTGTATTTTTTAAGTTATATGAATATACTGAAGGAAAATACTTATTAAAGTGTAAATATATTTATTACAGGAATGTATAGTTCTTAATTCAGCTCAAATGGAATGCCCATCCCCTTCTGCTAACGGCCAATTCTTAAAAAATATTAAAAGTTATCGGAAGCGAAGGAGACACACTACCAATGGAAAATACTTAGATTCTTATTTGACTTTGAAAATTGGTTTTATTATGGACAATGTTGCTGCTGTAAAAGATTTAGAAAAACATTTAAAAGTCTTACAGTCTCAAATTGTATATGTGCAAGATCCAAAATATTTCCAATTCTCAAATACTATTAAGTCATATAAAGGCGATACATTAGTTATAGAGGTTAGTATACTTATTACAGAAATAATATCATTCATATAATGGTTTAATAATATACATATTTATTTTCTTCTTTTCCTTTTAATTATTCTTGCTTGAGTATTTCAGCGTCTATACCAAATCATCTATACAATTGAATTATCTGTTATTTTTTGTTTCTTATCTTTTTTATAACATCTTAATCCACGCAGTTTTATGCAAATATGTTTATAATTTGTTATCATTTATAATAAGGGTGAAAACTTGAATTTGGCTTGTGATGAATCTGATGTCAATGTAACTATTGGAATGGAAGTGTGCAATGTTACTTCATTGGCTAATACGCAATTAGTTTGTATTCCCCCTCAATATCAACCACAATCTATTGATGATTTTGGTTCACCTACCAAAACAGGATTACCTTTAGTTGTGGTGAGTTTAATCTTAATGTAATAATCTGGGTTCAGAATCCTCATTTATAAGCAAAATATCATACTACAATAAAAATTGTTCATAATGACATTCGAGGGACTCAGAAAAATGGGTTATAAGAACCAATAGTCATAACTACTGATAAAATTTAACATATAAAACTTATCTATCCATTTACTTCAAGGTGATATCACCTGATATGTCACTACAACTGGTGTCATTATAAACAATTTCTACTGTTATTAAGAAACTTTGTGTTGACAAATAATTTAAAACACTATATTGTAAATACATATCTAATCCTAAATGTTTAATTTATGTAAAATTTTGATTGATATACATACATAAACATAAATAAATAATTGTTAATATTAAACTGTGTAGCCTTAATTATTTTAAGTAAAATATGTATTAATCAATTTGTATGCTTTATATATTTAGGTTCGTGTGGGTAAAAAACTAAGATTCAATGTGGGATACTTGCAATATGATGTATTATCAACATATTCATTTTCACCTGAGGCAATTGCTGGTGCCGTAACAAGCGCCTTATGTATAATTATAATTTTTTTCATTATATTATTTTTATACCGAAGAAAATCCACACAAGCTGAAAGAGAGTATAAACGTATTCAAATTCAAATGGATACATTAGAAAGCAATGTCCGGTCCGAGTGTAAACAAGGTTCATATTTCTTTATTTTGTTTTAATTTTACATTTAAAAATATTTTAAAAAAAATTAACATTTAAAAATATTTATTTATGCATCTGGGAACATAACTATATATTAATTGTGATTGATTCATTAATACTATTAATCATAATAATTTAAATGGTTTTAATCTAAACAAATATGTTTTATTTGTTACTATTATATTATTTTTATGGGTTTTAGCTTTCGCTGAGTTACAAACCGATATGACTGACTTGACTGCAGATTTAGAATCTTCTGGTATACCTACATTAGATCACAATGAATATATTTTAAAAGTATTTTTCCCTGGAGTTCGAGATCATCCCATTTTAAATGAATCAAAGGTTAGAAATGAAAATATACAACATAAAAAAATGTATTTTATTATTTATTAATGTATGTTGTATAATTATTATAGGTTGTTATTGCTGGATCAACAACAAATTATGATGCAGCTATGATGCAATTTGAGCAGCTAATAAATAATAAACATTTTGTTTTATCATTCATTGATACTCTTGAATCTCAAAAAACTTTTAGCATTCGGGACAAGTGAGTATTTTATACGTCTTATTTTAACTACATATTTTTGTGTTTTACTTAACTTAAATTTTTAATTTTTAGAGTCAATGTTGCTTCTTTGCTTATGGTTGTTTTAATGAACAAAATGGAATATGCGACTGATGTTTTAAGGAGCTTATTACTTAGACTGATTGATAAATCTGTTATGTCAAAGCATCCACATCTAATGCTACGTAGAACCGAATCTGTTGTTGAAAAAATGTTAACCAATTGGATGGCACTCAACATGTATAAGTACCTTAAAGATTATGCAGGGTCTTCTCTGTTTTTACTTTATAAAGCCATTAAACATCAAGTGGAAAAAGGCCCAGTAGATGCATTGACATATGATGCTAGATACAGTTTATCTGAAGACCGTTTACTTCGAGAACAAATAGATCATCGTGTTGTTGTGAGTAAAACTTAAACAAATAATAATTATTTTTAAAATTACTGAATAAACTATGTACTTCTACATTTCAGAATTTATATGTTATGCAAGATGAATTAGATGATAAAGTGCAATGTAAAGTCCTAGATTGTGATACCATTAGTCAAGTTAAATCTAAAATTCTTGACGCTGTTTATAAAAATACAGCATTTTCCCTAAGACCATCTGTTTATGGTGTTGATTTAGGTGAGAATAATTTAAATTTGATATGTTTACTTACTGTTTTATTATTGATACTATCCTAAATTATTTATAAAGAATGGCGCCATGGTCGGGGAGGTCACCTTACGCTTCAAGATTATGATGTTACTACCAAAAACTTGTGTGGATGGAAAAAGTTAAACACTCTTGCACATTATGGTGTAAAAGAAACAGCAGTAATGACTCTTATTCCACGCCAACATGACACATACAATAAATCTTGTATGCAATCGTGCCATAATTGTAATTAATTAGATATAGTTGTTTATAATTTTGAAATATATTAAAATAATTATTATTTAGGTACATCTGGATATTATTCTGGTGCCATTATATCAACAACTAATGGAGGCATTGAGACTGGTTCTAGTTCTAATGGCACTGTCTATCATTTTGTTAGATCTAATGATACACAGCAACAATATCATACAAATAAAATGCCTGAAAGAACCCATAAGGCGATTCCGGAAATATTTTTAACTAGATTATTGTCAACAAAAGGAACAATACAGAAATTTGTTGATGACTTTTTCTCAACAATTTTAGCAGCCAATGAAACTCTTCCGCCCGCTGTTAAGTGGTTGTTTGATTTGTTTGATGAAGCTGCAAAAAAATACAATATTATTGATCCAGAAGTTGTTCATTCTTGGAAGTCCAACAGGTAATAACAACCTTTTAACTGTAATTGTTTTTGAAACAATTTATAATCTTTGTTTTAAAGCAATGTGAACCTATTTTAATTTAATTTTCATTATTGTTTTGTAAATGTTTAATTTACAGTCTTCCATTGAGGTTTTGGGTGAATTTCATCAAAAACCCAGATTTCATATTTGATATTGACAAAACTCCTACTGTAGACTCTTGTTTGTCAGTTATCGCTCAAACATTTATGGATTCATGTTCAACTTCTGATCATAGATTAGGCAAAGATTCACCATCAAATAAACTTCTGTTTGCAAAAGATATCCCACAGTACAGAGAGACTGTATTAAGGTACTAATTATTTAAAATATTATACTATGTACATACAATTGTTTATAATTTATGCTTATAATATTATTGTTTGTGTATTATATATTATGTCATTAAATATAGGATATGATACTATTACTAAAAAATAAATATTATAACTTATTTAAAATTAACATTAAATGTTATTATTATTTTGTATTCAGATTTTATAGTGACATTCAAAAATTACCTCAAATAACTGATCAAGAACTAAGCACAACTATGCAACAGTTATCTGTTTCACATTTTGGCCAATTCCACATAGTTTCTGCTTTGAAAGAACTGTATATTTATGCTTCTAAATATAATGATGCAGTAAGTTTTCATTCAAAATATATTAATAATTGCTTCATTTAAAACTTTTATAATCATGAAATTTGATAGGTTTTCGGGTGTAATAATTTAACATTTAACTTTTTATTTTGTAATCAATGTCATATGTTAAATAAGGAATGAATTATTTACATATGAATATTACGTACCAACTAATTTTAATATATTAAAAATAAAAGTACATCATTATACACAAAATTGTTTTTCAGTATTGATAATTTAATTTCAACTTATGTATATAGATTATAGGTGTCAATTTCTATGTCCAATATTTCTTTATAATTAGTGTCGTTTTAGATAATACAGACTGCATGTATATTTCTTCAACACCAATTCTAAACATACTATTCAAATAAATTAAATATTGAATTGAATACTGTATTATTTACATTAATTTACTATTTTTATGAAAAAAGTATAAACTATAACTATTATGTATGTTTTTAATTTATTATATTATTATCTAGATTTTGGATTCATTAGAAATGGATCCTTATTGTCAAAAGATTAATCTCAGTCATAAGTTAAATAAGGTGGCTGGGACACTTGAAGGTGATGAAGCGGCCATATGCTGACAGTAGACTGATTATTTACTTGCGACTCTATCCTGTGATAAAGATGTTTTAATGTGTACAGATTACGTAGAAATTATATTGACTTTTTAATAATATTTATATACATTATACATATATTATATATAGACACATAATGTTTTTAATATTACTTGCTATCTTAGGAAAACTTAAGTTTACGATTGACCACCAAAATCTATACGACTTAATATTTGTTAGGTTGTTAAATTAATATTGTAGTTATTTTATTGTTGAGCTGATCAAAACAATTTTATTTCACTATAACACTAAAGACCGGCCTTGGCTTATGTACATTTTTGAATTTTTATCCTGAAAAATTAAATAACACTACTTCTTTTTTAATATTCCCTTATTTTTATTGTGAATTTTACTTGTGTATTATTATTTTTTTCAAAAACATACAATTAAAAGCAATATATTTTATTTAATATAATCATTGTTATTAAAATATTTCTAATAAATGTTATACAATATATAAGACTTAAATCAACTTAATTTTTCTCATACAATTTGAGGTAATACATGTTTTTTTTTTTTAATTTGTAACTTATTACATTTTTCCAAACAATTTTATTTTATCATTAAATATGAATTTTGCTTTTGTAATCTTAATTCTTTCTCTTACATTTTGATTTAATAGAAAACAAATTGTAAATAAGGGAAGTACAAATTGGTATACATATTGTTGTTATTACAACTAATATTACTTTTTTTCTTTAATTTAACACTGAGATAATTTTTGTTTCTTACTTTTGTACTACTAATTTAAACTAAATAATAATTTAATGATAAAGTTAAAATATGTTTTTGCGTGGTCAAATAGAATTTACATGAAATTTTAATAAGTTTTTTTTCTGATTCCGTCCTGATAAACATGTTTAAAATATGTGAAAACAGTGCAAAAACATTTAACTAAAAGATTATATTCTAAAAGAAATTTTGTTATTAAACACATCGAATCATAATGAACATTTTGTCTTTGCTGTCTATAAGTGAATTTTTACATTTTATTAACGTAAATGTATAATTTTTAAGTTACTACTTATTTTTTTTTTTGATTAAAATTTGTTTAAGTTAAGTATATGTATAAATATTTTTTTTTTTTTTTGAATTACTATCAATGTTTAGACGGTTGTGTTAAATAAGTTCAGTTCCCATTCAATGCAGATTGTTCTGCTTGTGTTGCTTCAATTCATGTATGTTGACAAAATCCGGCTTTTTTATATTTGTTTCCCAATAATTTTACATTGCATTTATAATTGTATAATATTTTTTTTAGATAACTACTTAATTTATTTAATGTATTTGTGGTCTGATTATTGTACACTGATGGTACCATTTCATATTTCCTGTCACATTGCTGTCGATTAGTAATCAATAATGTGTGTACAATATTTTAACAGTTTCACAATAATTATATTTCAGTGATAGAATATTATACATTTCTTATATTGCTTGATGACATATTGTTAAAAAAGTATTCTTAGTATTTTTCATTATTTATTTTTTATTTTAATATTTTCTTTAACTATAACCATTGCAGTTAAACTGGACTTTTAAAATATTGTACACCTAATTATCTTAGTTATATTAAAATCTCTTAGATCTCACTAACTTATGTCTATTCAATTATGTGTCCATATGAACAAATTGTATTGTTGCATTTATCTGTACTTGTATACTTAATAATCTAGCATTTTAATGACTTCAAGCGTATAAAATCAAAACAATTCTCTATTTCATTAGTGTAAAGTGTATAAATATTATTTTAAGATTTAGTATAAATGTTAAAATGAATTACATATATTAATATATATATATATATATATATATATACTTATATATATATAATAAAATATTATACTATTATAATGTGTTCAAAACGTTTTTAGGAAAGTATTTTACACAAAAAAAAAAAAAAATGCAAATTAAACATTGATCTAAATTTATTTATTATTAGTATTTTTATAATTATTGTTGTATTTTGGTATAATAGACAATAAGTAAACTTTGTCATACCAAATCCATAATTGTCTGTAAAATAATCTTTACCAATTTTTAACAAGCTGTATAATATTATAAACCCTACATATTCTAATATCAAATATTGTTTAAAATAAATTAAATACAATAGTGCACTGATTTCTATAGAAATATCACAGCACATATTTATGTATATTGTATGTAAATACAATTTACTTACATCACAAACTCAGCATCATAACTTGAAGGGGAAAAAATAGTTTTCTAAATAATGTTCCGAAAAAGTTTAAGTTGATTAATAATATATTACGTTCATAAACATTTTAGATTATGTTGTATTGTTGAACAGTTGTGTGCTATGGAGTATTCAATACTTGACTGGATTATAGTTTAGCCATTTCATCTTTGTGGGAATTTATTTATATTAAACTCATACTTAAGGCATATTATACACAAGTATACAATATTCATCATAATGACAGTCAATAAAATGTAATTATTCATAGCACACAGTTATATTGTAATCACTCCACAATACTAATTATTAATGAATCTAAGACAAATATTGATTTTTTTCTACACACTTATAAATTATTGTACTAATGTATAATGTATAATGTTAATTATGTACATAAAGCAATTATGTTGAGTCATTTTTCTAAAGTGTATTGTTGATCCCATAACTAATATCATCTATGCATAATTATATATTATATGTTTGATCTAAATTTTAAAAGGTATATTCCCTCTAATACTGTTCCATACAATAATATTATTAATTTTGGTATTCATTTATTCGGTGGTAATCAACTTATGAAATTAATTGATAGATATTTTTTCTTGTAACATTCAACTGTATTTAATATTTATCTAGACTGATAATGGAGCAATACCATATTAAATGTGTTTAGTCATCATCACTGTTTAAACTAGATTAATCCACATTTGTTTTATTCATAAAAATGAATTGCTACATTGTCTTAGTGTATGTAAGATAATATAAATATAAATGAAGTGCCAAATTTAAAATATTCAATAAATATTATTCATATATATTTCATATAAAAACTTATTTTAAAATCATTGGCTCACTGAAAATTGTGAAAGATATAAATAAACTGGGTTTTCTTACTAATCAGAGCAACAAAATATTCATATTATACCCAAAATAATTTATAAACCCTCTTTGGGGGTTACATTTATAATCACTAAACATTTTATGAATCAATAGTGAGGTAATGGTGCTTTAATCATGATCTAGTTTCCCACATTTGGTCCATAAAAGTAATCAGTTTTTATATGCAGCTCAGCACTAATATTTAAATATTAGTGTATTCGGGCCTAATATCATGCATCAGTGTGTTGGGTAAATAACATTTGACAAGTTATTAAATAAAATTGGTGAGTCACAAATAAAGTTACCTGTTTAAATATTAAACAAGGCTTAAAAAAGTATCTATTAAGCAACAAAACAGAAAAAACAACAATATAACTAAATTAAAAAAATAAAATACAAGTGAAGCTCATTACTAGTTTACTTGGTTCCTTTGTCCATTAACCTTACTTAAATATTTGAAATTTTTTTTAAAATTCTATACTTACCTACCATGTATTTAGTTATGTTTTATCAGGAAGTATATAGTGAACATGACCATCATAATATATAATATAATATAATGAAAGAAATAACATAAGACATTCAACATAAACAGCCAATACAACCCATTTATTTAAATAATGTACACAAATTTAAAATATAAAACAAATACCCAATGATTCATTGTAATTTATTGTTCAACAATTAAGTGCTTTCCCTGGGCATTGGATCTTCTGGATCATTTCTACATGGCACAGTTACATTTTCATGATGAGGATTTGCTTTGTCCGAAATAAAATTATTTTTTTAAATACAATATTAATAAGAATATATAAGATATATTTAATACTATCCAATATCTAGGTGTTTTGATGTATATTATTCTCAGGAAGTGTCTGATGGGTCATCTAGGTCATCGGATACTGCTTTGCCTGAGACAAGCATAAATAAATAGTTTATTAGAATATATGTATTTTAGTAGACACCTTATGTAAAATTGTATGTACATATCTGAAGCTTTAATATAAAACTAATGAGTGTTCTAATAACAAATTAAAAACTTAATAATTGATACAACTATTATACTATACCTACCATATTATATTAGCTATTAGCTAACATTAGAGCCATTTTTGAACAATTGATAATTTATATACTTACCAATGAAAAATTTTCTTATGCCCATGTCTCAAAATTTAACAAACAAGATTTATAATTTATTCACAAACGAAAAAGTCACGTTATCGTAATTAAAAACAAATAAACATGAAAATGGAATATATTGGTCTGGATTGTGTCTGGATTACAGTGAAACCACAATGATTGCCGTGTATCTATAAACACTCATTATGACTGCGGTATCGCTTGTGGTTGTCTTAAAGTTGAACAGCACAAAATCATCGTGCACCGAGCATTCAATGCTCACAAATTATTTATAATATACATTTATATCATAATGTTTTATTAAAACAATATTTAGGAAAAAACTTTAGCTCGCAGGAGTGGCAGCTGCCCACCATGCCCCCCTCTGTGCTCTATGGGTACATTGGAAGACTGATATGTTTTCCATGACCAATTTTAGCATAGTATTCACCATAGTGAAATCATTGACAACACCAAAAAAATTCACTACGTGAGTTGCAAAATTGTCTACGTGCATTATATTTTTCTAGTCAATGCTTTTCTGATAAAACACGTGAAGAATGTGGAAATAAACACTTATACGCTTTGGGGGCTTAATTCTGAAAGGCCATTGAAAACTATCAATGCACAACAATTTACATTCAGTGGGATAAATTAATCATAGTACTTTAAGAAGAAAGTCAACAGTTATAATATTATCAACAGCAGTAGTGCAAATACAAGGACCTAATGGACGGCCGGCCTAAGCTATGTCGTGCATTATTACTTAACATTGATTCAGAATCACACTTTATCACTAAAGCTTTAGCAAGTAGATTAGGTTTTATACCATAACATCAACCAATGATAATTGATG